GAATATCTCTAGAGGCCTGGCAGCCCTTTCCTTCACGCTGTGGGTTTACGAAGCCATTTGGTTTGGGGCGCCCGGGTGGCTCAGCCGGTTAAGTGTCTGATTCTTGATTTCGGCTCAGGTCACCATCTCAGGGTCATGGGATCGAACCCCATGTCGTCGGGCTCCACACTCAGTGGGGGGTCTGCTTCTCTCCCTCTCCCTCTGCTCCCCCCTCCCCCACACTTGCACGCGTGCTCTCTCAACGTGCGCTCTCTCTCTCAAATAAATGGATAAATGTTAAAAAAATAAAATAAAGAAGCCATTTGGTTTAACTTTTGCCAGTACAGTTCCCTTGACATCTTAACTTGAACAACAAATACAGAGACTGTAGGGCAGCAGGAGGTCGGGGTTGATTAACAGCTCCAAGCTGCCTTCTCAGCTGCACTCCTATCATCATCTGAAGCTGCACCTTCTCCGCTCCTCTAACCATTCTTTCCAAAGCAGGCTACAAAGAGCACCAGTTTACTTTGGGACATTTGACGGGCCTTGTGGGTGGCCTTTGGGTTTGAGGCAGTGTGAGTTTGGAGGCCTTGACTTTGAGTGTATTGCTAACCCAGTGAGGAAGATGATGAGTGCCGGTGTGAGGGGCCTCGCCGTGAGCCCCACCCACCCTGGCTCTCTGACTTCGAGCAAGTCACCTAATCTCCCCGAAGCTGTCGCAAGATGTTGAGGAGTGAAAAGCCAAGACTCTGGTCCGTGTACTGGATTTTTTTTTTTTACACTGTGCCTTCATCCACTCGGGCTGCTATAACCAAATACCACAGACTGGGTGGCTTATAAACAATAGAAATTTATTTCTTACACTTCTGGAGGCTGGTAGTGCAAGATCAAGGTGCCAGCATGGTCGGGTTCTGTGTCTGCTGAGAGCCAGCTTCCCAGTTCCTAAATAGCCACCTTCTTTATGTGTCCTCACATGATGGGAGGGGCAGGGAACCCTGTGGGGTCTCTTTTATAGGAGCACTGATCCCATTCACAGGGGCTTCTCCCTCACGACCTGATTACCTCCCAGAGGCCCCACCACCGAACACCATCACACTGGGAGTTAGGATCCCAGCATGTAACCAGTGGAGGGGGGAGCATAAACATTCAGATCATAGCACACTGCATAATAACATATGTGTTTTTGTTTTTTTTTTTTAGAGATTTATTTATTTATTTGAGAGAGCGAGAATGAGAGAGAGTACATGAGAGGGGGGAGGGTCAGAGGGAGAAGCAGACTCCCCGCCGAGCAGGGAGCCCGATGCGGGACTCGATCCCGGGACTCCAGGATCATGACCTGAGCCGAAGGCAGTCGCTTAACCAACTGAGCCACCCAGGCGCCCCATAACATATGTTTTTATTAGTACCACCTTGCATCGAGCAGTTATTGCTTTTCTACCATTTTATTTCAGATGTGTAAGTACTCACTTGGGCTCTTAATTAAAATTAAAAAGAGAAAAGACTGTTCTTTTGGCAGTCACAGATGTTATTATTTTCTTTATGAAATGGAATATATTGGTATTTTAGAAAATACCGAATCACTGACCACATCCTCTGAATTTGACCAAAGTTCTAGAGGGAATTTGAGCAAAGGGAGAACACTCCCAAAGAAATGAATTTTGCAGATGTAAAGGAAGAGGTTTCCTACTCTTAGAAGTTTTTATTAGATGAGGATGGATCATAGTTGAAAATTGGAAGTGGTGTGGATTCTGTGAAACATTGCTTGTCCTTATAAAAGCATACGGGCCCGACCTTGGCCGCCGAGAGCGCCTGCAGTATCAAGGGGCTTCTCTGCGCTTGGTGAGCCAGTGCAGACTTGAGAATTGGGGGAGGTGGGTTTGAACCCTGGCAGCTCTGCCAGATCTGAGCTCGTCATCTTGGGCCACTTAGTTCATCTCTCTGAGGCTCAGGTGTTTCATTATAAAATCTCAGAAGGTTATGCTTATCCCATTAAGCTGTTGAGAGGATTCCGGGAGGTGACAAATGCAAAGCATGCAGCCAGACCCTGGCACCTAGTAGGTGCTTGATACATCGAACTATTTTAATATACTCTTTATACTATATAATTATATAATCAAATAATATATACTATATAAAATGTCTATATAAGGTTATATTTGCATAATACATAATAATCCTTTTGTATGATTATGTATTCTTACATAATATAATAATATACAATATTGGTAGCATAACATATAATATATACTTATATAATATATATAACTATTTTTAAATAACAGTATTCTTGGGGTGCCTGGGTGGCTCAGTCGTTAAGCGTCTGCCTTCGGCTCAGGTCATGATCCCAGGGTCCTGGGATCGAGCCCCACATCGGGCTTCCTGCTCGGCGGGAAGCCTGCTTCTCCCTCTCCCACTCCCCCTGCTTGTGTTCCCTCTGTCGCTGTGTCTCTCTCTGTCAAATAAATAAATAAAATCTTTTTAAAAAAATAAATAAATAACAGTATTCTCTCTGAAATACTAGGACTTCAAGATCACGTTCCCTAGTAGCTTTCACACTTTTTTAACAGTGGAATCTTTTTCCCTTTCCTTTCCTGCAAAGGACATCTGTGCATCTCAGACATCTCCTGTCTGAGACAGAGCAAAGAGGAGGTGCTTGCTGAAGCAGGGGTGAGGGTCCCCAAGCCCAGACAGGCTCTCCCTTTAGCTGCTCCTGCTCCCCACACCAGGACACCCTTGGAACAGAGTGGAAACAGCTGTTCTAGGCCAATCTGCTTTCTCTTCGAGGTCTCAGAGCCACTTGGGTAGAGCTCAGAGTGCAGGTCCGTGGCCTTGACGTTGAACTGTCGTTCTCCGAGGGGCTCTGCAGTGTCCGCTGGTGGGATGAATTACGGGGCTGCTGATCCCCCTCCTTGAGGGGATTTGGGGCCTAATCATAGAACCTGGTGCCTTGACAGGCTGCTGACTCAATCCCTGGGTTTACTGGTGGCCACACTTAAGCTTTATTGCTACTAAAAGCCACAAGGAAGTCACAACACCCAAGTATAAAGCTGGGGCTGACGTGCGTAGCGGCTCGCATCACCGCCTGAACACTGGCTGTGTGTGTCTTTGCTTCTGTGGCTGTTTGATTAGCTTTGATTTTCAAGCAATTGAAAAAGTTTTGTTCCATGTAGTGGAGTTTCATTTCTCCATATGGGTGTCAGTGTCAGATGATGATCTATTTGCTGTACTTGTCAGAACAGTAGACCTGGTTAGCAGAGGGGCTGGTCATTGACTGTTCGAGAGAAATCCGATTTCTCTGACCCCGGGTTTTTTGTCTGAGAACGATGAAACCCTTTTCTACCGACTTCATCAGCCTTTGTGGGTTGTTGGTTGTGACATTAAATGAGATGTATTGGAGAGCCTTTTATCAGAAGATGAATACAGGGAGACATTATTATGTAAATGAGTCTCCATTTTCTCTGCAAGAAAAGTTGGGCCACTTCTTTGGCTGATGTGCTACGAGATGGATGACCTTCTATTTCTGCCTTCCGTTAGAGACTCTTGGTTCTCTGTAAAACAGCTGAAAAGGGAAAACACGTGGCCCGGCCATGTTGGGATGTAGGGGGGTCGCCCTGAAATGTGTGGGGACCCATGATGCGCCTGCATCCACTCCACGGGAGAGGACTCACCACCAGTTTTCATAAATGTATCATTTGTAGCCAATGCAGTCACAGCGATGCTCTTGAGCCCTGAGGCCTGATTCCAGAGGGTAGGAATGGGTTCCTGCGTGTTTTATTTGTCCTTCTCTTATTCCAAGGTCTGGGGTTAGAGTACCAGAGTTGGTGAATTCTTGACTTTGTCTCCCATGAGTACGCAGATTCAGCATTGTCCTGACAATCAGACCAGTCACTGCAAACATTACATGCCAGACGCCCTCCCAAGTAAGCCTTCTCCTGACAGTTTCTCATTAAATGGGGGAATCATTAAACTGAGGTGTAAAGAGTTGAAGTGACTTGCCCAGGGTCCCGCTGTAATGCTGGAGTGTCACTGGCACTCACCAACCTGCCAGGATGCTTTTGTGAGTGGAAAATTGGGAGTTTGGGCTGGCCGCTAAGGATCCCGATTCCCTGGTCACAGTTTAGCCCCAGGACCCGTGTAATGGCGGAGCTGGAACGTGAAAGGCCTGCTAATGGCTTTCCAGAGAAGGAGTTCATGCCATTTCTGGACCAAAGTATTCCAACCTCCTTAGCCCTGAGGGCTTCCAACGCTCACGACCTAGGTAGGGGAGGTGAGACAAAGGGTGTGCTGTAGGAGGCCGCCTGCTCTGTGAGGGCCGGAGGCAAGCCTTGGTTTGGTCAGCACTCCGCTTCCACCGCCCACACCAGGCCTTGTGTGCACAGGGGCGGACTGGCCGGAAGGAGAGACGGAGGGAGGGAGGAAGTTTGGATGGATGGAAGGAAGGATGAATGGATGTTTGGATTGGAGGAAAGAATTGAAGAGGTGCATGGTAGGGGGAGAGAGAGAGAGAAATTAGAGCTGGAATGAGATAAAAGAAAGATAGAGGAGTTTTATATGAGGCATCATTATTGCATTGTTCACAACTTCTCGCTGTTTCCCATATGTTCGTGCACACACGTCATTCATATGTTTATTTAATAGACATTTTTGACCACTAACCCAGATGCAGGGGATAAACGAATAAGACATGATCCTCCTCTCAGAGAGGAGTTTAAAATCTCAGGAAATTACTTAAGCCACTCTTGGTTGCCTAATCATTAATAGAGGTCGTGGGAATCCTGATTCGCAAGTCCTCACCTGCATTGGATGTTCCTGGAGCAAAGGAAGTCGTCCACCGGTCACGTCTCATCTCTGCGTATATACTCACAAGCCAGGAAGGTTTTGTGGGATCTTTATTTTTCTTTGCCGAAGCAATGTGTTTAACTGTTTCCCGCCTTTCTGTAAAGCTTCTGAGTTTTTCATTGTTGTTCAGTGTATTGTTAGGCTCTCGCATGGAATGACTCTGATTTTTCTTTTTTAACCAGGATTGATCGTAAGATGTCAAGTGCTCACACCAACTACAAACTGGATGAGGCCCAGGCGATAATGAGTGAGCTCCGGACCATCAAGAAAGCCATTTGCACAGGAGAGAAGGAGAGGCGGGACCTGATGCAGGTAGGGGCCTGGTACTCTTCGCATCCCGTGTCCGTTCGTTTGCCTGCCTGCGTGTCCATCTGTCGGTTAACATTTTAGGAAAATATGTGTTTACAGTATATAATATATATTTGTTATGTATACAGTTCATATATATTTTAAAACATATGTCCATGCCATACGTGTATATATGTTCTTTATGTGTGTGTGTATTTCTGCATATGTGTATTAAAATATTTGAAAGTATGGGTGTTAGTTTCCTAGGGCTGCCATGACAAAGTACCACAAGCGGGTAGAGAACAACTGAAATCGATTCTCTCAGAGTCTGGAGGCCAGGAGTTCAGAGTCAAGGTGCTGACAGGGCCACGCTGTCTCTGATGGCGCTAGGGGTGGACCCTTCCTCGCCTCTTCCAGCTTCTGGGAGCTGCTGCCGATCCTTGGCATTCTTTGGCTCGTAGATGCCCCACTCTAATCTCTGCCATGTCATCGTATGGTGTTCTCCCTGGGTCTCTGTGTCTACATTTTCTCTTATAAGGATGCCAACCACTGGATTCGAACCCACTCTAATTCAGTATGACCTCACCTTAACTTGATTCCATCTGCAAGGACTCTCTTTCCAAAGAAGCTCACATTCACCGATTCTTAGGACTTGAACATATCATTGGGGAGGCCACAGTGTAAGCCGTAACGATGGGTGATACAGTTTGTTCAATAATCAAAACAACTTAAAAAGTCTATGATGAGAAGTCTTGTTACCACCCCATTCTGTACTGCCCTGTAACTACCTTTTTTTTTTTTTTTTAAAGATTTGATTTATTTATTTGAGAGAGAGAGTGAGAGAGAGCACATGAGAGGGGGGAGGGCCAGAGGGAGAAGCAGACTCCCCGCCGAGCAGGGAGCCCGATGCGGGACTCGATCCCGGGACTCCAGGATCATGACCTGAGCTGAAGGCAGTCGCTTAACCAACTGAGCCACCCAGGCACCCTGCCCTGTAACTACTTTTATTAGCTTCTTGTATACCCTGCCAGCATTTTTGCAGACACAGGAGAGGGTGGTGAGCACATGTTCAGCTGTCCCCACAGAAAGCTAGGGCTGTGCCTGCCACTCTTCTGCCCCGGCTTCCTCGCGGGACAGTAACACCCCGTCCCCTTTTCTGGATCTGTGCACAATGAGCTGCTTCATTCCTTGATATGGCTGCAAAGTAGTCTGCGTGGATAGATTTTAGTTATATGGCTGGGATCGTTGGAGCTTTATACTGCTTTATTTTTTTGTCCCTTGAACTTCTGTAGATTTTCTTGTACTTAGAAAAAGCTTGAGTTTTTGCAGATGGATGCGCACTGGTCTTTCTGCTTGGTCCTGGGGTGCATTCAGATGTTTCTGTTATGGCTTTCATTTTTTGCTCAACACACTGAGTGCGTGGCAGGCATGTGTCTAGATTCTGCAGAATGTAAGGATAGAAGCACGTCTGAAGCAGAGCTCGGACCTGTGGGCCAGATGAGACAGGTGCACACATAACTGCCTTGCACGGCAGCACTCCCGAAGGTCAAGGATTCAGGAGACTTGTGGAGTGTCCCCACAGTGGTCATTCAATTGCCCCTTACTGGGCCCTACCCCAGGCCTGCTAGATTAGGCTCTGGAGGCGTGACCCACCAACCTGTATTTTCAGATGCACTCCCAGGTCATGAGAGGTACATGGTGGCAGGAACAGCTCCCGCCATTTCCTGGAACCTCTGAGTGCAGCGTTGGACGAGGTGCAGTGTGGACATGCCGCATCTAATCGAAGCCCCAACCCCCGGGGGTGAACCAGGTGGGGTATTCCATCATGGGGGCTTGGAGGCCTTGCCCCAGGACATTGAGCTGATTTCTCTGCCCCGGCCTTTCCCAGTGTGCCAGGCTGGGGCAAGCCACCCACTTGCCTCAAGTGGGTTCCCCACCACAGTGGTGGAGATGGAATTTCTGTAAGAAACTTCAGACCCCAGCATCCTCTCTGAGAAGCTCCAGGGAGAGGCCTGGGCAACGTCCTCTCTAGCAAAATCAAAGAAGTTGTTCTGTGTTTTATGACCTTAACAATATTGGCCCATTCCAGCATGCCTTCGTCTGGATCCAGAGCCAGCTAGCCGTGTCTGCTGGAGAGAAATACATTCAAAAGTCTTCTAAAAAACTGGAGAAAAATCTCATTTCTTTTTGACTTCCACCTAAAGGAGTTACGTATGCCAGAAGACATAGTTGCTCTAGTTTTGGGCAAACTAACATCCGTATGAGATGACTCTTGACCATGTAGAATTATGACTGAAAAATCAGGTTATAAAAATATGTAAACCTCATCTGGGAGTGGTTTTCCTTCTGTGTGGTTTATAAAAATCTCAAGGCAACATTCATCTCTGTCAGACTCATTTATTGATACAACATTTTGGATGGCAGTGCTCCCCCCCGATTTTATTGAGGTACAGTTGACAGATAAAATTTTATAAATTTAAGGTGTATAACCTGGTGACTTGATATACACATGTAAGGTGGAATGATTAGCACGATAAAGTTAGTTAACACATCCATCACCTCACGTGGGTACCTTGTTTTTTGTGTGTGTGATGAAAACTTTTAAGATCTACTTTCTTAGCAGCTTTCAGATACGCAACACAATATTGCTAAGCATGGTGCTGTGCATTCCGGCCCTGCAGCTTACTCATCTTCTAACCCGAAGTCTGTGCCCTTTGACCCCTCAGCCCCTGGCGACCACCATACCACTCTGTTTCTCTGAGTTTGGCTTTTTTGGAGGGAATGCTTGTTTTTTTCTTTTTTCTTTTTTTTTTAGGATTTTATTTATTCATTTGAGATAGAGAGAGAGAGAGAGAATGCATGAGCAGGGAGAGAGGCAGAGGGAGAGGGAGAAGCAGGCTCCTCGCTGAGCCAGGAGCCCGATGTGGGGCTCGATCCCAGGACCCTGGGATCATGACCTGAGCCGAAGGCAGACGGTTAACCATCTGAGCCACCCAGGAGCCCCTGCTTGTTTTTTCTTTAGAAAACAGAAAGATTTAGGGTGCCTGGGTGGCTCAGTTGGTTAAGCGACTGCCTTCAGCTCAGGTCATGATCCTGGAGTCCCGGGATCGAGTCCCATGTCGGGCTCCTTGCTCAACAGGGGGTCTGCTTCTCCCTCTGACCCTCCCCCCTCTCGTGTGCTCGCTCTCTCTCATTCTCTCTCTCTCAAATAAATAAATAAAATCTTTAAAAAAAAAAAAAAAGAAAGAAAACAGAAAGATTAAAAAAAAAAACCAGTAAAAATGGTACCACAGTTGTTCTCTACTATTATCTATTATTCTCATGCTGCCAGGAGGACTCCGTCACTGTCTGATTTAGATGACTACGCATTGGATTAAAGGTGCAGGTCGTGGGCGCCTGGGTGGCTCAGTTCGTTGGGCGACTGCCTTCGGCTCAGGTCATGATCCTGGAGTCCCGGGATCGAGTCCCGCATCGGGCTCCCGGCTCGGCGGGGAGCCTGCTTCTCCCTCTGACCCTCTCCCCTCTCATGCTGTTTCTCTCTCTCTCTCTCTCTCAAATAAATAAATAAATAAAATCTTTTAAAAAAAAAAAAGGTGCAGGTCGTGAGGGTCGTGTCTTTTACATCTCACGGGAATGGGGGGCAGGGTGGGCCAGCTCTCCGGCGCTGACGCGGCCGCCCTGGAGCCGATGACATGACTGCTTCTAAAGGGAAGAGACCATTAGCACCTCTGCCCAAGTAGCTCGTTTCCTTCTGTTGCAGAGCCTGGCCAAGCTGACCGAGGGCTTCAAGGACAGCTTTTCTCTTAGCGACCCTCACAGTCCAGGTGTGCTTGGCGATTCGTTACCTCAACAGTTCTGCGATGCTGGGTCTCAGACGGACATCATTGGAGAGGTATGCCAAGAGTGAGGGGCGGGGGGGGGGGGTGGAGAGCCGAGTGCGCCCAGAGAGAAAAGAGCTGCTTTCGTGTTGCCATCACTCACTTGTTTGACTTTGCCACTTTCTCTTGAGAAATGTTTTGGCTTTTGTGCCATTAAGTTTGAAGGAAAAATCCAGCTGTGAAGGTTCTGTGGCATGGAAGGCAATTGAATTGCTTAGTATCTCTATCCTTGTAATTTGGATTCTTTAAAACAGCAGAATCCTTCTGAGAGTTGAGTTTAGATGTGTTCTTTTTTTTTTTTTTAAGATGTATTTATTTTAGAGAGAGAGGAAAGAGAGTGTGGGGAGGGGAGGAGCAGAGGGAGATGGAGAAACTTAAGCAGACTCCACACTGAGTGTGGAGCCTGACCTGGGGCTCCAGCCCACGGCCCTGAGATCATGACCTGAGCCAAAATCAAGAGTTGGACGCTTAAAGGATGGGAGCTACCCAGGCGCCCGACATACGACATTTTAGAGCAGGGATCAGCTAACTTTTTCTGTAAAGGTCCAGATCGTAAATATTTTAGGCCTTTGCAGGCCATGCAGTCTCTGCTATAACTACCTAACTGTGTTGTTATAGTGCAAAAGCCACCATAGGCAATATGTGAACAAATGGACAGGACTGTGTTCCAATAAAACTTTATTTATAAAAACAGTATCGGATTTGGCCTGTGGGGGTCATAGTTTACTGATCTTTGGCTTAGACCAGTGATTTTCAGAGGCTTTGTGTCTGTGTCACCCTTAGGTTATACTTTGATGCTATTTCTTATTCTAAAAGAATGTCAGGAAATTGAATTGAATCAAAATTAATTTTGCTTGGAACTTGGAAGAATTTCATAATGCCCCATTTGATAATTACTGAAGCCTTGAGTTAGCTACAAAAACAAAGTTGGCAATCATCATCTGAAGTAGGGTAGTGAATGCTTAAAGACACTCCTGTTATAATGTTACTGAGTGAAGTTTATTACAAAAGGAAAACAAATGAAAAAAAGATGGCTTCTTTTTCTTAGGGCTTATTAAGTAAAGAGGAGACATCAATGGAATGTGCAGTGTCCTCCCCAAAATTAAGTAAAGAAAAAGCAAAAAACAGGAGAAAAAACCATTGACGAAAAACTCCGGGTTTTAAATAATTAGCTAATATTTTGAAATTTGGATAAATAGTATCTCTTTGAGTATAATATGGTAAATAATGACTCTTTTGGTCTTGGACGTTCTGAAACAGTCCTATTTTCAGTTGTCAGTCTCAAAAGTACATTTAGACATTTTTGTTTTGTTTTTTACACTTAGACATTTTTGACCAGGCGATTTTGGTTTAAAGAATGTGGTCCCCATCTATGTAACACACAGAGAAGAATCTGTAAGTCAGAAATGTCTGCCATTTTGGCCTAAAGATTTTTGGTGTGCAGGAAGGAAAGAAGTATAAGACTCATTGAATTCCATGAATAATTTATTGCTGTTACCATAGGTTAGAATTAGAATTAAGAGATTCAACTAGTTTGAGAGAAACAGGTAAGATCAAAGGTTCTCTAATGATCTAGGTAAGACTTTCTAAAGATGTCAGGTGCGGAGTGGTTGGTTATGCTGTTGCAGTAACTTGAGCCATAAATTGTCATGTTTGTGAGGTTACTGGGGCCTGCCTTGGGTTGACAGCTTCATGGCTGTTATCTTGTTAGTTGTTTCCATATCCGTTTGATAGGTGAGGGGTTCGAGGTGCCAAGTCACCTGACGTCATGTAGCCAGGGAGAGACAGGGTCTGCATCAACATCTCTGATGCCTAAGCCCCTGTGCTTTCTACTACATCATGCAGTTGTTAAAACAAAACAAAACAAAAACAAAAACATATTGAAGGGCTGAACTGGACTAGTTGGCTATTGCTGCATAACAAATTACTCCAAAACCTAGCATCTTAAAACAGCACACTTTTATTATCTCAGACTTCTCCTGTAGCTCAGGAGTCTGGCAGGGCCCTCTGCTTCAGGGGCTCTCCTGAAACTGCAAGCAAGGTGTCACCCAGGGCTGCAGTCTCGTCTGAGGACTCGACTGGGGAAGGGGCCACTCTCAAGCTCACGTGACTGTTGGCAGGATTCACTTCCTCATAGGTTTTTGGACTGAGGGCTCTGTCTCATTACCATACAGACCTCTCCCGCACAGTAGCTTGCTTCATCAAAGTGTGCAGACTGAGAGAGTCTGCTAGCAAGATGGAAGTGACCGTCTTTTGTAACATAATCACAGAAATGGCTTCCCATCATCTTTGCTGTATTCTGCTGGTTACGGTCAAATCATAGCTCTAGAGCACTCTCAAGGGGATTTCACCTGGGCTGAATCCCAAGAGGTGGAGACCATTGGGGACCATCTTAGACATCTGCACACCTGACTTAGTTATCACTTACGTGCTATAGGACTACATAAGAACTGTGCAACAGGAACCTGTTGAATCCATTGGGCCATAGATTTCTCCTTTTTTGATTAAGATGTCCATTTGTTCTCAAGAGTGCAAAAACAGAGCTTAGAGATCCGTAGACAGCATCGAGAAGAGGTTTTAGGAAATGACATTTATTTGTCTTGATGAGGGGTCAGCTGCAGGAGTCTCTAACAAACAAGGTGATGAGGTGACAAATAGCTCATTCCCAGTGTAGTCAGTTTCTGGAGATGTGATGCTGTAGCCTTAATATATTTATATTGAGGAAACCATGGAGAGGGGCTTTGGATGAGGCTATTAAAATGTGCACAGTGGTGACACGCCTCATCAGAGAATGCTCGCCCTGTCCCTCATTCAAAGCAATAAAAATATAAAGAAATTCCTATTGACATATATCAAAACTGGGGTCAATAAATTCAGCTCTAATCATTCAAATAGAATATTTTCAAATGTTTGTTGACATGAGGTTATTTAAAAAAAAAAAAGACGACTTAGTGGCTCTAACATAGGGTCTAGTTACGGTCAGATCTACAGAGACAATTGATTTAATGAACTAGTGTCGTATATTTCCAGGAATGAAGGAAGAAGTAACCAGGGTGAGCTACAGTTACCTCCCATACAGGTCTTTTTTGGTTTTGTTTTAGGAATTTGTTTAGTTCAGCGTAATTGGTATGAAAACATTTAAGTACAGCTAGTGATCACGTCAGAGCGCCACACGTTTGAGTTCTAACTCCTAGGGCGATGGGCCGCCTTCAGGCTTTTCCACACCTTGCTTTCCTTTCTTTCGACCTTTAGTTCTTTAACATGCTATGTAACATTCGAAGGAGGCCTGTAGCCCATCCGTCACAGAGCTAGTCCATCTTCTTCAGATCTTGTGACTTCTTAAGAGAACATCATTCTTCTGCATTCATTGAAGAACGAGAGAACGTACTGTACAAAATGGGATGAATATTTTTGCCTTTGTGTCAGCTTTACTAAATAATTCCCTATGTTTTTAAAATTTAATTTGTTGTTGTTGTTGTTATTAGAAACTACACAACAGATGAATACACTTCCACTGTTAAACAAATCCACCAGTGCTTGGGAGGCAGTCTTCTCAGCCCCACCTGCAGCTTCCACCAGTCAGAGGTGGCTACCGAGCACTGTTTGGTGTATTTCCTTCCAGACCCTTGAGAAATGGAAATTTAAAGACAAATTAAAATATTCTTCATTGTCACTGAAAGTTGAAATGAATTTTCTATTTTGAAAATATGTCTTTAATATGTTTCCCCCTTTTTTTTCCTTCTGTTCCGGAAAGTTTGTCTTTGATGATAAAACAAGACTTGTAGACCGAGTCAGGCTTAATTGGCAGTATGAGGAAGCCAGAAAGAGGTAAGAAGCTCCTTTCTCAAGTCTTGCCTTCTGCTTCCTTCCTTTCTCCCATGGAAAGAGGTTTTGTGGCGCTCCATTGTGGGACTGTCCACTTTTCATCAGAAAGTGGTATCTGCTAGAATACAAAATCCACGATCTTCCCTTCTGGGTAAGCCTCTTAATGCCCATGATAGAATTTCATGTGCATTTAACACATGAACGTCTCACTGTTGTGACCAGTTCTAAAGCCATGAGCTAATAAAGACAGAGACTTTCCCGGCTTCCTTCTCCTCTCAGATAGCTCAGGGCTCCCGCCTTCCCTACCTCCCGACCAGCAGCAGCCCCTCAGACCTGCTTCAACACAATTTCCTTATCGTTTACCTATGTCGTTTCTAACTCCAGAGCTTAATGGAAACAGTCACATATCTTGGTTTAAAAGACAGTTTAACAAGGACTAGGTCAACAGGTCTTAGCGGGACCTCATCCGCCGGATTTCGGTGGAGAGACTCGCAGCACAGCCTTTTCTGTGGACCTTTGCCATAAATCTTCTGCCCTCAGAAAATCAAAGACTTGACCCTGTCTGTACCTGTTCAGGATTTGTCTTTCTGTCGCCCTCTTCCAGCCCTAAGCACCGGACAAGGGCAGAATTGAGAGGCAGTGCAGTATTTTTAGCAGGTCACGTCCCTCCCCACGTTCGCAGGACCCTGGTTTCAGTATTCTGACCCTGCCCTAGCTTTCGTGTCCCCTTCCTAGAGACTCTTTTGTGTCTTCTGAGGAGAGCCTTAAAACCAAATTATTCCCAGATATGTGCTTCAGAAAGCTGTGAACCGTATCTTTTTAAAAAAGTTTCTTTAGTCACATATGAACTATTTTCTTGGAGGGTGGGGGAGAAGGAGTGGAATGCCAGGTGGGGTCAGGGGGTCCTTTCTGGAAGCAAAATAGCTGGGTCTGCTCCATATACTGTATCATTCCTGATGTCTGGAAATCCATTTTGTCGCCTTTTTAGAAAATGTAAAAATAGCAACAAAAGCGGATCATATGACTCCCTGCTAGAGGGCCAACATGAGCTGACATGGGCTTTCTGTTTGCTCAGAGCTCGTATGCCCGCTTCTTCCTGGCTTCTCACCACGTATCTGTGGTGGGCTTTACGCTTCCACACCGACCGCTGCCGAGTGCATTCAGCCGTGCTGCTTGTCTCTGCGGTCATATTCTCCATCTGTCGTGCATTCCTTCTCCTGAGCTCGCTGCTGTTTGTCAGGGGCCGTTGTCCCCTTTGAATATTCCTCTGCTCATTCTTGCATGTTTCTGCTGGACCGCGCAGTGTGGGTGCTGGAATTTGCTGTGCTGTAGTAAAATGCAGAAAATAGATGGTTGCTGCACTTAGGGACATAATTGTTACATGTTTTGCTGCGACATTTACTAAACATAGCACGTGATCTCTTTGTTTTCTAGAGATAGTATTGGTACACAGTGAGTAACCTTGTAAATGTTGAGATGAGACATTTGGGCGAAAAGGCAAGTATTTAAGAAAAATTTTCAGGGGAGGACACTGCATTTCATCGGCATCTTTTAAATGACAGTACTGTTTCAGGATTGCCAGGACCTTGTCAGGAACACACTGCAGCTACGTGGGGCGGGGTGGGGGGTGGGGCGGGGGGGAGCCCTGCCCCCAGTGCTTCAGCCTCTGTGGGCCAGAAACGCCGTTCTGGGCTGCATCAGCCACATGTAAGTATCAGGGACACGTTGTGGAGATGTCCTGGATCGGCTTGCACAAGCACGGCCTGTCCTTTTCCCACTAGCACAGTGGTTCCCAACAGGCGGAGTTGGGGAGTGGGGACTTTACCCCCAGGGAACTTCTGGCCATGTCCAGAGGCAGGTTTGGTTGTCACGACTCTGGGGGACCTGCTACGGCCGCTGCTCAACATCCTATGGCGCATAGGCCGGCCCAACACAGAGAGTGACTCCCCCACATGTCACCAGTGCCGAGGCTGAGAACCCTTGCTCTGGCTGGAGGACTGTGGTGTCTTAGCGGGGCCATCCCCGCGGGATTTCCTGCCAGCTGGTCTGCATGGGTGACCCCCCAGTAGTGTCATCTGCACCCCACCCCAGCTTCTGCAGGGGGCAGAAGCTGCTGGGAGAATGGGACATCGTACTTCTTTCTACGCAATACCTGCCCTGTTCTGGACATTTGAAAAAAACTGTGTGGGTTATGCGATGTGATCACATACGGTCTTTAACCTATTTGGGATATAAACTCGTCCCCAACTAACAGAAATATGTCGGTTTATCAGTGGCTCTGCCTGAGAGTGAGGACCTCTCCCTATCCCCACTCGGGCAGTACCTGCTGGGGTTGTGTGTGTGTGTGTGGGGGGGGGTGTGTACGCGTGCGCGCATGCGTGAAGTCACGTGCACACACATATAGCACGTGCATGTTTACAGACGTGCGTGCACACTTGTATTTTCCTCTGTGTTTTTATTACAAAAATAATACACGAATACATTGTTTTTGTCACAGGCACAATCAGTAGAGACCACCCACTTTCCCCTTCTCTAATCCCACTTCCTACCATTCATGGTTTGGCGTGACACCTTCCAGGCTTTTACCTAAACATTTAAATAAAGTAAGCCCAGTTTAGTTAAATGTAGTATGTGATGCATAGCTTAGGATGCATAAGCATCCCTCTGTGGAGAGACATCTTAGATGGTTGCAGTTTTTCCTTTTCACAAACAGTGCACATCTTTTCCTAGGCCTCAGCCTTGCGGAAAGGACTGTTTCCTTGGACGGATACTTAGCAATGAAATGTACAGATCTTAACTCACATACACTGAAAGGTTTTATAGGGGCGTCTGGGTGGCTCAGTCGGTTGAGCATCTGACTCTTGATCTTAGCTCAGGTCTTTATCTCAGGGTCCTGAGTTTGAGCCCCGCGTGAAGCCTACTTTAAAAAAAAAAAAAAAGAGTTTTGATAGCTGTCCCCACATGGCCTTCCAGAATGACTTAGCCACCAGCGCCGATGGAGAGCCCTGATTTTCACATCTGTGGAGCATCATTAAACATCTTCATTTTTTTGTCGATTTTACTAGAGTAACGGGCAAAGACCTTCTCTCAGTGGTCATGTGCTTCTCCCTGGTGTGAATGGTGCATTTCCTGGTGCCGTTCAACATAATTTTGTGTGACTTTTGGTTCTTGTAGTTGCTGTGTCTGAATTTTTTTTTTCCAGACAAGTGATCCTTTCAGAAAATGTTAGATGCTATCATTCCCCTGTTCCACATGGCTCTCAACCCTTGCAGGAGGCCCCTTTTGCTCCCTAGGGAACAGTTCTGGTCCTCCTGACTAGGGCAGAGCCCAGGGTTGCTGCTGACCAGCCCACAATGCACAGCGTGGCCCCACAGCAAGGACTTCGGTGGCCCAATGTCAGTAGTGCCTCAGCTGAGAAACCTTACTCTTGGCCTTCTTATTCTGCTCCTAAATCCCTACTGTGTTTGGACAAGGACCCACAGGAGCCGGTTTTCCACTAACTCAGGGCATTAGCCCACTGCCCCGTGTCTTCCCTTGCCCTGCTCCAGACAGGTTGACCCCTCAGTGTTCCTCAGACACGCCGGGTCTCAAACCTGCCGGGCACACTCCTGACTTAGTCCCTGGAGTCAGCAGAATAATGGCCCCCTCAAGATGTTCATGTCTTAATCCCCAGAACCTGGTGGCTGTGTTGCCTTCTGTGGCAGAAGAAACTTTGCTGATGGGATTAAGTTAAGGACCTTGAGATGGGGCAGTGATTCTGGATGATCCAAGGGGGCTCAGTGTCATCACTAGGGTCCTTAGAGAGGGACAGTCTGGGAAGGGGATGTGAGGAGGGAAGCAGAGATCAGAGTGGTGTGGGCCACGAGCTGAGGCCTGTGGGCAGCCCCTAGAAATGACAGTGCAATGGATTCTTCCCTAGAGCCTCCAGAAGGATCACAGCCCTGCCCACCCATTTTTGACTTTTTACTTCTGGCACTATAAGATAATAATGTGTGCTGTTTTAAGCCACTGAGTCTGTTGTTACAGCAACAAGAGGAAACTCATACAGTGCCCATGGCCTTTGCCGTTTCCTCTGCCAACAATGGGATGCTTTGCCTCAAATTGTCAGATGGCTTCTGCTCTCCTCTTGGTCACCTTGTCAGAGACGCTTCCCTGATCATCCAGAATAAAGTAGCATTCCCCATTCCCGCCCCCATCGCCCCGATCCTCCCAGCAAATGTAACCACCTAACCCATTCTCTATATACGTGTTTGTTTTTTCATCATTTGTTTTTCCCTCCGAGAACGTAAACCCCACAAGGGCAGGGATTTAGGTCCGTTTAGGTCATTGCTGTAATTCCAGTAGCTAAATACCCACTGAATATTGAATGAGTAAACGAGGGCCCCATTTGGTCACACTTGCTGTTTGGCCCTTGCTTCTGCCAGTGGGCAAGCAGAAGGAGTCCTTGGGGCCCAGGTCCTGGCTCTCCTCCTGGCTCCCTTCCCCAAGGCCCGCTGTGGGCCTTGGGATATTGCCCCTTGACCTGAGGACAGAAAAGCATCAAGATATGCATGTCTTTAGGGTTCTAACAGAGGCAGGACATGGTCTCTTCATTTCAAGAACTGTGTTCGCAGGATACATCATCATACCAAGCTCAGCTTACAGTTCTTGGGCCTTCATGGACATTTGAAAAGGCTCATGATCTTGAATCTTTCTATAATGAATTCTCTTGGGTGCTGGAGAAAATGGCTGCTGTTTCGGAGCTGCGCCCTGAAGGATGCTGGGATTCCGGCTGCCCGTGCATTTGGGAAGGGCTTTCTCAACCAAGAGGGGAGCAGGGATCAGGGTGGAAAGTTGTGCGATCGCAAGTTTCTGAGGAGGTGCGGGGGGGGTCCGTCTGCGGCAGCTGGACCAGCCTATAGTTGCAGAATGAAGGGGAGTGGGGGAGCAGGTGGGATGGAGGATGCCATGAGCAGGGAGGCAGGTCTGCGTCATGGGGGACCACCAGTACCTTGAAAAAGAGTTGAAAATGCTGGGCATTCTAGGACTTTTGAGTCGGGAATGGTCCGTGTGAGCCATCCAAATGGTGAGAGATCCAGGAGGGCAGTTGGAGGTGGTACTGACGTCATGGTGGCTGAGCTCACCTTGGGAGAGAACATGCACTGAGAAAGGAAAAGAATTCAGGACTGAGTCGTAAAAAAGTCCCATGGCTGTTGGCCTGGTGAGAGTGAGGCTGGCCGGAGGAGGGAAGTAAACAGTCCAAGAGAGTCTGGCTAGGAGTGAGCAGAAAAGAGAAAAGGAAGTAAAACCTCAGAAGACACTCACCTCCAGGGACCCACAGCAGAGGAGGAGATCCTGGAGAAGTCACACCAGTGGGCTGACAGACCTCTGCTTCCCAGCACTGCCCGCCACCGCTGCCGTGTCCCGGTCCAGGTTTTTATCATGCTGATTTGCTTTTTTTCCATTTAAAGAACTCTTACTCTGATCTCTCTCTCTCTCTTTTTTTTTTTTTCTGCTAAAATATCTTTCTCTTACAAAATAATGATGCTAGTTGATGTTAGTAGGTTTTTTCAAAATCTCTACTTGGAAAAATAAGAAGTTGGCAGCCCTACAGCAGCCCCTCCCCCTTCCTTAAGTGGCATGGGCCATGGGGAGTGTGACATAGATGGCACTCACTGGGGCTAAAGGAGGAGCATGGCCCCGGAGAGGGAGTTCTCAGAGGCTCCCTTCGTGGCCTAGGATCATTTAGAAGGTGGACCTTGAGTCTTGATAATGAGTTTCTGTTCTCATTGGACTTTAAGGTGCTTTAAAATGTCTGTGAAGCAGGGCCCCTGGGTGGCTCAGTCTTAAACGTCTGCCTTAAGGGTCCTGGGATCGAGCCCCGCGTCGGGCTCCCTGCTCCGTGGGAAGCCTGCTTCTCCCTCTCCCACTCCCCCTGCTTGTGTTCCCTCTCTCGCTGGGTCTCTCTCTGTCAAATAAATAAATAAAATCTTTTTAAAAAATTAAAAAATAAAGTAAAAAAATAAAAATGACCTTGGGGAAGTTTCTTTTTTGCCAACTTTAATCATGACCTTACTTTGCTTTCATGTATTTAATTTCACTGAAACTATATTTCAGGGGGAAAGAAAGCGCCTTTCTGGAGATTGTTTTTCTCATATTGCTCAGAATTGGAATGATGGTACTCGCAGCAGTGGGGTCCCAGCCTCCGGGTCAGCCGCACGGAGTGGCTGTGGGGGAAGGGGCACTGTAAGTCTACATCTGTGTTTAGCCTTAGGCACAAAGTCTGTCTTCTCCGCTGAACCTAACACACGAAGCATCCTCCTTGCAGACGGCTTGTTTCTAGGCCAGCAGCGCAGTAGACAAGGCGTACTGCGTCACAGGCAAAGCTGTCTTGTCTATCCCTTGGTGAATGCACAAGAAATCACTGGAGGAATCCTTCTAGAGATTTTGGCCTCCAGTGCAGACAGACAAGACGTATGTGCCTCACTCTCAACCTGGCTGAGAGCAGGCCCCAAATGTCGGCATCTGGAATGTGCATATAGGGAAAGAATTGTACAGTCCCTTGGCACGATATATCCATGTTCTTCGGGACTCATAGGTAGCTCTGAGACGACCACGCCGTCATTTACATCCTTGTGAAATTCAGTTATGTGAAAAAGCACTATTCTTCAGCGTAGAAACGCTTGCCTCGTGTTCAGCTTAGCCCAAACAGCTTTTCCACAGGGGCCGCACGAAGTCAGCTTTATCCCGATCTTGTCTGTGCTGCAGAGGCTGTCCCTTGCCGTGTCGCGTGTCTGTGCATATTTGTCCTGTAAGCAGAGTCACAGTACTGTGTGTCACTTGGGCCGCTGTACTCTTGAGCCTTCGGTGGACAGACCTTTTGAAGTTGGCCCTTTGCCTCTCTTCCCGCCTATAATTCTTTTCTTTGCTCGTTCTGTTTTCTGGTAGTGGATATTACTTGAGATTTGCCTGGGAAGCATAGGATTACCTAGGGTTGGATCTTCTGCCCCCCTCAGCAGCTCGAATGCTTGTAGAGTTGCAGCTGACCAGCGCCTGGCCAACTCAAATGGAATCTTGATCACCTCCCATGTACACCTCCGAAAACTCAGAGGGAGTGCTTTTAAAAATGTGGGTGCTGGTAGTATATGAATGAGAATTAGTGTATGTTACAAAGTAATACCGCTACCGCGAACTTCAGCTGGGTTCAGAGAGGCTTTCCTGCGGGTTGATCAGATAAATGTAATGAAAAGTTATGAGGACACAATGGATTTGCTCAATGTTGTTCGCCTCTTTCATATTTATTTCTTACTTTTGACTTGTCTTGATCTCCGGTAGAGCGTTCCAGAAATTTCATTGGGTATAATGTCTGATTTGGCACTAACTTATTTATGGGCCGACTTGGAGTGTATTTTCCTTGGGCTTCAGTTCTATGACTGCCATAAATTTTCATTACACTAATTAGACATAGATGGATGCTCAAGCCCCGTTGGATTCGTAGTCCTGGTCAGCCAGCTCTGCCAGTAGTATTTTCCAGTGACATGATTTGGCACCATTTTCCAACACATTTTCAGGAAATTAGTTTTAAGTTGGAAAAGAACTTGCCTAATAAAGCTACTGACATTCAACTATTTTCTTTACCTTCTTGGGGAATTGGACTTGAGTAAAATGTGCACGTTTAAACTATAACTTATATACTTTTTTTTTTTAAGATTTTATGTATTTATTTGAGAGAGGGAGAGAGAGAGCACAAACAGGGATGAGGGGCAGAGGGAGAGGGAGAAGCAGACTCCCTGCTGAATGGGGAGCCCAACGCAGGGCTCAATCCCACGATCCCGAGATCATGACCTGAGCCGAAGGCAGACGCTTAACCGACTGAGCCACCCAGGTGTCCCTACACTTTTTTTTTTTTTTTTTTTAACTGTTGGGTTTTTTTATTGGTTTGGTACTTGAAGAAGGCGTCTTACCCAGCCCTCCAGCCAGGCTGACTAGTCCCCATGCTCATGTCTAGCTCAAGAGGAGCCTGACCCCGTGCGGGGCTGGCCAACAGTCTCTAACATGTGGGCCGACACCAGCTGATTGGCAGTATCTGCAGGGAACACAGCGTTGAGGATTCTGAGGTCTGGACCTAGTGGGCAGGATGCCAGCTTTGATTAGTTTGTGTGTCCTGGGCAGGGGACAGGGTGGTGTCAGGAGCGCTCCTGCCGTTCCTGTTTTAGTGAGGATCATCACACTGGAGCCTAGTGCAGGCCCCTAAGAGCTCCACGGCCAATTAGGATCCTCCAGACCAGGCCAGGCTGCCTGAAAGCAGAGGGTTTTCAAACTGAAGTGAGCATCAGAAGTACCTGGAGGACTTGTTAAAACCCCGGTCGCCCAACCCCATCCCCAGCGTGTCGCATTCAACAGCTCTGGGGTGGCACCCGAGGTTTCCATTTGTAACAAAGCTCCTGGTAATGCGGAGGCTGCGTGCCGGTCAGGGACCCCACTTTGAGAATCGCTGCCTTGGAGGATGCAGGGCTATGTGCCCCTGCCGCTTCCCTGTCTTCACAGCTCTCTGTGACCTCAGAGGAGTCTCTGGATTTTGTTTTTGGGGCATGTGTGCCAACATCTGTCCTCCACAGCGCTGGGTTCAGGGCGGGTCTGGCGTCACTCGTTTTCTGTCTGAAAACAGCCCTCCTAGTTAGCCAGACTTGAACTTGAAGGGCTGAAATCGTTCTGCTCCGCCTGTGAAAGGCTGCTCTGCAAATATAAGCCACATCCGTCTCATTTAATCTGCATTAAAGGGCACGAAGCGATGCAGCCTGTGTGCCAAACACGTGGAAGTGTAGGCACGTGGAAGGTGACAGCAGCGTCCATACTTCTCCCCCCGGAGGGTGGTCGTGCCGATACGTTTGGTGAGGCTGACTGGTTTGCACCCCCCCGCCCCCCCTGTGGCCGCGCTTAGCTCCCGTGTATTTGCTGGCGTGCTTGTTCACAGTTTCACGCGTTCAGCTTTTGCTGAGTGTCTGCTCTCTGCAAGGCATTTTGAATGTCACTTATGCTCCAGGTCCCTGGGGCTGGAGAGAGCAAACAGAGCTGGAAGACGTGGATCGCCAGCCAGGCTTCGGGGGGTTTCTGTTCAGAAGCCCCGTGATGGGTGCATTTCTCTCCTGTCATTTTGTCCGCGTGGTGTTGGCAGTTAGGTACGGCAGAGCAGGCAGGAAGCCAGAAGCTTCTCTCGTGTATCCAGCACTGTGTTTAGCCGCTGCTGGTGGGGGATGGGGAGAGAGGAGCTGGTTCCGTCCTGCTCTGGGACAGTGCCGTGGAGGAAAGCACGAATCTGTAACAACACAGTGCAGGGGGTGTGGAGGATGCCAGCCTTCCTGTCCGTCCTTTGAAGCAAGCATGCCATGCTTACTGCCACCCCAAATCTAGGCCAGGGGAGGTTATGTAGAGGACCTCCACATTCTTTTTATGACCCATCTTTCCAGGTGCTTTGTTTTTGTCATTTAAGGTTCACTTGGTGCAATAATTTCAGTATTCACTTAGAAGAGTGAGTTTCTAGAATCCATGTGATGGTGTGGAGAATGGGTGGTGATATTTTGACTTGACGGATTTTTCTGGGCCCGTCTCTTGCAGAGTGTCGACGATTCAGCAGCAGCTGGCCCAGCTTGATAACGAGTCGTGGCCGGGCCTGGCCGAGGCCGACAGGGACCGGCTGCAGCTCCTCAAGGAGAAGGAAGCCCTGCTTCAAGAGCTGCAGCTCATCATTCAGCAGAGAAGGCCGGTGGAAGACGTGGCCCGGCTGGAGGAGGAAAGGAGGCGCCTGGAGGAGGAGATCCAGCGAGCCCGGGCCACGTCGGTGCAGGGCGCCACGGAAAGGTGGGCTGGCTTCCGCGGGTTTAGGAGCAGGCAGGGCTCAGCTTCGGGGGAAGAACCACCCGGAAAAGCTAACTCGGAGAACTTGCACGTGACTCGAGATTGGTCCTGGTCATGGTTACGCAGGGCATCGGCCGCCTGGTGTGTTTCCTGGCCGCGTAGAGGGAAGGCAGAAGGTGGAGGGAGCGTGTGCCTTCCCTTCTGTGGGAGGTGCCGGCTCTGCCCAGGGCTCCCGGGGTGCCTGTTCCCTGTTCAGAAGCAGGACGGGATGGAGAAGGGGAAGGAGGGAGGGAAGCTGGGAGCCCCTTGCTTAGCACCACGCCCCCAGCATCGGGGTGCTTGCCCCTTGTCTGCAGGACGGCAGCCCGCACAGGCGTGGGGCGGCCGGCAGGAGGGTGGGAGAGGGAGCCCGGGTGCTGGCACGGTCGGCGACGCGGCAAGCCCTACCCCTTCCTCTCATCGGCGACTTTGACCCCCCGCCCCGCCCCGGGAGAGGCTCTGTGGGAGCACGAAGCCGGCGGCCCGGCGCCTCTCCGCACTCTGTCCCGCCTCTCCGCCGGCCTCGGAGGCGTGAGGCCAGCCCCGCAGCCCGAATCCCTGTTGCCCGGCCTTGCCAGGCTGCCGGCTTCCGTTGGCCACGCGCGGTCACGGGCCGCGTCGGAGGCTGGGTCTGCGTTCCCCGTGTCACGGCTGTCAGCTGAGCTTTGGAGAGGCCCCCCCCCCCCGTGTGATAATCTACGGGACCTTCAAGTCCAGTGTGTTAAGAGGACCGTACGCTGTATCTGTATGAGCCTCTGTACGGAGAGTTTAATAGGTGAAGGGCATCCGTACTGACGCCCTTAGGCCTGTCATTTAATCACGTGGGAGCTTACCCAGCCGAGGTACCGCTGGGGTTGTCAGTGCTTGGATAGGCATCTTTTTTTTTTTTTTTTTTTGATTTTATTTATTTATTTGCGAGAGAGAGAATGAGAGACAGAGAGCATGAGAGGGAAGAGGGCAGAGGGAGAAGCAGACCCCCCGCCGAGCAGGGAGCCCGACGCGGGACTCGATCCCGGGACTCCGGGATCATGACCTGAGCCGAAGGCAGTCGCTTAACCAACTGAGCCACCCAGGCGCCCTTGGATAGGCATCCTTAATAGCTAGAGGTCTGTGTGGTGACTTCAGCGGCTCGTGTCAGCGCTGGCCGGAAGCGGTGGCATTGGGAGAGCCCAGCTCGGAGGAGTAGCTGGAGTGAACCTTAGTTTGCTCGGGATGATCGCGTGCCCTGTCACGTGACTCAGAATAAACGTGGAGTTGATCCTGAGTCTGGAAAGGGACCACGGACTGGAGTTTTCGTCTGTGCTCTTGTGCTTCTGCTCTCCCCTTGGTATTCTGTTGTATATGTTCTGGGTAGGAGGGCCTGGGAGTTCGTTGGGTTGGTTGTCTCTTAAGGGGGATGGACTCTGTCCCATGAATGCCCCCTGCTTCTCAGGACCCCACACCCATGCACCCTTGATTGTTTTTGCCCTTGCCTCGTGGAAATCCCAGCACACGTGAGTGCTGGGGTCCCAGGGTACAAATCCATGGAACCCCATGGAGCTGGTATGACCCTCGATGCCTGGGTTCAGGGACTGGGTCAGCCAAGCTCGTCCAGCTGATGGAGTGTCTTGTGGGACCAGCCCAGGAGCTGAGTCCTGGGATGCAGAGCCCTCCACTGGGACTGAATTGGCCCCCGTGTGTCTCCTGAATCTGTCGCTAAACGGCTCTGGGCAGGGAGGGCTGTCCCCTGGTGCTGACAAGCACTTTCATGCTGGCCACTTCTGCAAACGGTCTCTGTCTACAAGCCGTGCTGCACGGTGAGGCAGGGGCGCCAAGTGCCCCCCCAGGGCTCCGGCAGCCGGGGTGTTCTGGGCCTGGCGGAGGCAGGCCTCTTTCTCCGTGCACCTCCCTTCATCGGATGCATGCTTGAATTAGAAGCATGGGCCCCCGAGGTGGGCAGCTTTCCCTGGGAGCAGGCTGAGGGACGTTAGAGAGACCCGGTGTCGAGATGGAACGAAGCGACCGAGGGTGGTGTCTTGGGGCTGAGATGGGCCCGCTGCTTGGCCAGGCTTTGCCTGCCTCGGCCCCAGTGCCCTCATCGCCAGGTAGTGAGTGAGTGTCACTGGGGATTGGCACGGTGTCAAGCCTTTCCCCCGCCAAAGGACAGAGTGACTGTTTTAAGGGTGCCTACTTGGTCACATGTTAAATGCCATCGTTTGATTTATAAACAGGGACTGTTTTGTTCTGAGGCAAACACATTCATTCATTCATTCATTCATTCATTCATTCAGGAAGTGTCGAGTGCCTGTACCACGTGTAGGGCTCCATTCGAGGCAGGGGACTTAGTGCAGCGGACAAAGTGCATTTCAGAAATTAGCCTCAAGTCGAAGAAAGTGGAAAGAAGAGAAAAAATGCCCTCCAACTCTGTGACAGTTGCTGTTTTGTTTTATTTGTGTCTAATCTTAATTCTATGGATTTTAGGATCCATGCATTTTTGCCCGGAGCAGGGCTTAGGCGAGGGATTCTGATTTGTCCTAAGGAGTTCCAGCAGACTACCGCGTGCTCTGCATTTGAGGCCATCTTCTAGTCTAGCCTCTCATCCCTCCTGCCTGTTCATGCACCTGCCCACCCACCCTCCCATCCGTTCACCCACCCACCCATCTGTGGAGCGTCTACGGTGTATCCGGCACTGTTCAGGGGGCTGGGGGACAGTGTCAAGCAAGAGAAAAACAGTCTCTGTTATCTTGGTGTTTGTGACCTACATGTGTTTTCTAGATTTGAGTCATTCAAACCTAAATCACTTGGGGAAATTTACAGTTGAATTTCTTGTTGGGAATATAAACTCATTCTCTTTGAAATCCACCAATGGACAATTTTCTTACCTACAGGATTCTACTTCAAGAAAAAAGAAATTGTCTACTTATGCAGCTGGAAGAAGCTACCCGCCTAACGTCCTATCTCCAGTCCCAGTTAAAAAGGTAGGTAACTGGGTGCCTGGGTGGCTCAGTCGTTAAGCGTCTGCCTTCGGCTCGGGTCATGATCCCAGGGTCCTGGAATCGAGCCCCGCATCGGGCTCCCTGCTCAGCGGGAAGCCTGCTTCTCCTTCTCCCACTCCCCCTGCTTGTGTTCCCCCTCTTTCTGTGTCTCTCTCTGTCAAATAAATAAATAAAATCTTAAAAAAAAAAAGGGTAGGTAACTTTATTTTTATTTTTATTTTTATTTTGGGGGGGTTGGGGGCAGAGGGAGAGAGAGAATGTGAAGCAGGCTCCACGAGATCATGACCTGAGCCGAAATTAGGAGTCAGGTGCTTACTTGACTGAACCACCCAGGCACCCTAAAAAGGCAGGTAACTTTAAAAGAGAAAGCTATACCTAATTATCATGTTACAGTGGCATGTCCATGAGCTTCATCATTCCCTTTAGCTTGTTTTTCTCCTACCAGAATTTAGAACAGGAAGGGGTTGTAAACACAGAGTGGGAAAGCGGCTACATTGTATTTTTAAGAGGAGCTGCTAATGTATGATTCAGGGAATATGAGGAGAACCAAGCTTGGCTGCAGAATAGCGAGTCTGAACTCAAATACGTCTTATGATTTTATAATTTACAGCTTCTGAAGTGTATATATCCATCTCCCTGTGCACATGGATAGTTTTATTTTGTTTTTTTAAAAAATGATATGAATATTTTTAAAGAATTGGATGCTCAGTAATAGCTTCATTTTCAAATACTTAGTATATCGTGAGGCGTAGTATTAACGGCTTTCTATGTATTTTCTCGGTTATTCCTCCTAAAAATGCCACGACGTAGGAATGATTATCTCCCAGCCCCCAGTGAGAAAGTGGGGGTTCCTGAAAGGGCAAATTGCTTGACCCGGTGGGCTCAGCTAGTCTGCGTTTGAGCTGGAACTTGAAGTCAGGCGTGAGTCTCTGATGTTACCTGTCGCTCTCTACTGACATTCAAAAGAAACAAAGGAAATACTAGTGCAGGTGCCTTATAAATGCTTGTGAGTGGTTCAAGACACGCTCTGGTTAATGGGAGGATGGGGCAGGATTTTGTTCCGTCTGGAACAGACCAGATGCTCAGCTTTGCAGTGGAGAACGGTGGGGCTTAAGCACAGGTCTTTGGGCCGCTTTTCTAAGAGCGTGGGGTATCTCTCGTTTCAGCCTGTCCGCCAGCACCCTGACTGTGTCTTCGGGGAGCAGCCGCGGGTCCCTGGCCTCCAGCCGGGGCTCGCTCGCCTCCAGCCGCGGGTCCTTGAGCTCCGTCAGCTTCACCGACATCTACGGCCTCCCGCAGTACGAGAAACCCGACGCCGAGTGTGGCCAGCTTCTGCGCTTCGATCTCATTCCCTTCGACTCCCTGGGACGAGATGCCCCCTTCTTAGATTCCCCGGTGCCCTCGGGCTTCCACAAGCAGAGGCGCTCCCTGGACACGCCGCAGTCCCTGGCATCCCTGTCCTCCCGCTCCTCCCTGTCCTCTCTGTCTCCCCCGAGCTCGCCCTTGGACACGCCCTTCCTCCCGGCCTCGCGCGACTCCCCCTTGGCCCAACTGGGGGACAGTTTCGAGGTGCCCGGCCTGGGCGCCCTCGACAGACTGCGGGCTCAGGCCTGTGCTTTGGGCGACGAAGACTTGCAGGGCACGGCATCCCTTCAGCCGCACGGGTTCCCCGGGGATGGGGAAGGACCTCGCGAGCGCGGACCCCAAGTGACCGCCGCTCCCACGGCTGCAAGTAAGTACTGAGGGGTGCTGTGGGTTCTCTCCGTCCCGGGAAAAGAAGGGTTTCGGGTTCAGGGAAGAAATCGCGTGCAGTTGCACTGAAGCCCGCCGCCTCTTCAATTCCGTGGCCGGCTGTAGGTTTCAGACTTGGTAGGGTGAGGAGGAGGGCACGCCTGCTGCTATGTGCTTTCCTCATGGGGCCGTGGGGTCGGGGGCCTGGAGAGGTCACGGGGATGGCCAAGTCGTCTTTCCCGGGCATTCGGCTTGTTTTCAGGACGTGCTTCATCGTTGAAAAGGACGGTAAGCACCACGGTTTCCCGTAGTCAGAGGCTGCTAAGGGGGTCCTGGGGCCTCCATGAATTCCCGCAGCCCCAGGGTGCATGTGGCCGGTGTACCTCTCTAATTCCTTTGTCCCTGTGCCTTCGTCTCTTAGCCTCCGTCCTTACAGTTTTCAAAGGTGTAATTTATCAAACATGGGAATGAAGGTGATCGGTGTCATTTCAAAAGACGTGCCAGTAAGCGTCCGTCATTTCTACCCATCCGATTTCTCTGGTGGTCCTCAAATCGCGCAAGGCGAACTTCATGCATCTGGTCCGTGTTAATTCAGCTTCTCCTTGGTGCCTGGGCCTTTCCGGTGGTAGCCCATGTAGAAAACGGAACTGGTGTTCTAAAGAGTATTCCAGCTGATGGCTTATGCACAAAGCAGGGCCTGGGCTCCGACCCTCCTCATCTTGACCCCATGTGCTTTTCTGAGCCAAGCTCCAGCAACTTTAACTCCCTTAGGTTTCCAAGAGGACCAAGAGCGAGGTCTCATTCCTAAAGTTCCTGAATTTTTATTTACACAGCAGAAAGGTTTTAGACATTCCATTTAGGCAAACACTAGATATCTGTGTAGCTTAGTGGATCTTAAGCAGGGGAGATTTTGAGCCCTGGAAGGTCCTTGTCAATGGCTGGAGACGGTGTTGGGTTGTCACAAGTGAAGGCCGTGGGAGGGGGCACTGTTGGCATCTGGTGGGTGGAGGCCGGGGATGCGGCTCACCATCGTGCGGTGCCCGGCGCAGCCCCCGCCTCCAGGAACCGTCCGGCCAACATGTCAGCAGTGCCGAAGCTGAGAAACCTGGCCACGCACCGGTGAGCGGTTCAGCAGCAGGGGGCAGAAATGAAACGTGAGGACAAAGCCAGGGCGGTGTAGTGGAAACGGCTTCAGACCTGCAGCTTAGAGGCCCAGATCCTGTTCCCTGGCCTGTTGACTGGCTAGCCGTGTGACCTTGAGTGCATCCCCGGACTTGGCTGAGTCTTGGCTTCCCTGCCCGTGAACAAGGCGGTCTTCACTCACCACTGTTCTCTTAGCCTGAGTTTTATGTATATAACCACACTGGTTATTGTAGCTATAATAGAAGAATGGTCTCTGTTAGCACCTACACGCCGGACCAGAGATCTGTGAGGTCGGGAGGCCAGCCCTGTGGCTTTTTGGCATCAGTGATTTTGCTGTCTTCTCTGTGTTTACAAGCACGCCTCTCACATCCCCAGGTATACGGTTTCTGGAGTTCACATATGCAGGTGCCCCTCATTCCCTTTCTTCTTTATAATCACAGGGTCAGTGCTCCATGTTTACTCCTTTAATTCAAAAAAGAAAACACAAAATCGGGACCAAATTGCACATCTGTTGTTGCTTAAGCTGATTGCCCTCAATGCCTCACCTCCCTGCCCGCCTGTCTTTAAAGGCTGAGACACAAGAATATCAGTCTCATTAGGCAGAAAATCCCAAGGCCCAAGAGCCCTTTTGGGCCAGGGGAAAGACAGGATGAGAGGGAGAAGAGCTGACTTAATTTCTGGTCCTGATTTCTTTACTTTTTTCTTCCCACTCTGGCTGACATTGTAATGGTTCAGACTCCTCAGGCTGGGAGGTATTTGGTTATGCTACGTTCAGGTACTGCCACCTCGTGGTCAATTCTTGGATGACAGTGTCAGTAGGCTTGGGTCTTTATAAACTCGAAATAATTAACTCAGTGAATGCGCTGGTCCTGGTGGGTGCTCCCAGAAGGCTGGATTGGGTAACCAGCTTCAGGCGTGGGCACAGAGTGACTTCTTGCCTCTCTTGTTGTTTGTGGGAACACTTGAGCCTAGAGTCATCAGGGATCTTTGTACTCCTACTCCAGGGACCTTTGTTACTCCACCCCTCGTTTACGATGCCTGCCGTCATGTAGTTCCCCCTGACTTTCTAGTTTCCTTAGGAACAGCACAGTCTAAGTTTGACCTCGGGCAAGTTTTAGAAAGATAAAATTGTAGTAAGCTGAAATTCAAAATTGCCCAAACCTACGAAGGAAGCTCTAGGAATAATTTCTTCCATTGTGTTTTAAATCGATCTGTGGAGGCAGAAGGTGGGACAGGGGAGTGGGAAAATAGACTATAATCTTTAATGTTTTTAATATTTTTACTACATTTTTATCTTTCTGGGATTTTAAAAGCCAAATGTGTCAGCACACCCGGCTGGCTCAGTCCGTGGAGCGTGCGACTCTTGATCTCGGGGTTGTGAGTTTGAGCCCCACGTTGGGTGTAGAGAGTACTTAAAAATAAAATCTTTAAAGAAAGCCAAATGTGTCATGATTTTTGAAATCTTTTCCTATTTTCATTTCCCATTAGTATTTGCTAATCTAAATCTGGGAAAGCCTTGATTTAGTTCATCCGTTTATTGACGTTTTTATGATATTCATACTCTGTTTAAAATTGTTGGCTTAAATTCTGCAGTTTTTTCACTTTGTGCTTTTTTTCTTTATCTCCTTTCTCATGCGGCTCGACAGAAACGTTCACTGTAAGTGACTTGGAATCCTTCACCTTGTTGGTCAGGCAGCAGGCACATCTTTGTGTAGTGAATCAGTGTGTTCAGGACGGGAGGGGTGTGGCCAAGAAGGGCATATCGCATAGTTGTACTTTAATGTAGCTCGCTACTTACCATTATTATTATTGTTGTTATTATTATTATTTCAGCATTAATACTTATGGCCACTGAAGTTGTACAAGAACTTTTCTAAAAGCTGGAAGTACTTATTCCTCTGTATTTTTTCCCAGACTTCAGTGGCTTTTATTGTTTTACTATATGCCAACTGGCAGCTTTGCCCAAAATGTGATTTTCATTATATTTTCTTTTCGTCAAGCAGTGCTGATGTCCTCAGGTCTCAGTGTCTGTCTGTCTGTCTTTAATGATGGAAAGATCAGAGCTTTTTAAAATGAATGTTTGGAGGACTGTTTATTCCTTCCCTCCCTGGCATTGCCCCCCCCATCGCCCCCACCCCCGCCGTGCTCCATCTCGCCATCTTGAAGCCCCGGGGCAGATGGCAGGGGGTGCAGCGTGGGATATGCTGTGCGCTTTTTCCTACCCAGGCCAACTGCTGATCATACTCCCTTCCGACACCTGCTGCCAGGTGCGACTTACTCCGTGAATGCAGTAACTAAGCCTGGGATCACTGAGGATTAATTCCTTCATTTCCTTTTTCTCCTCCGAGACGGCCATTGCAGTGAGAGAGAAACGTTGTGCGCGTTGCACCGTCGGGTTCACCGGAAGTGCTTGGGATCGTTGCTTGGTGGTATTTCCTCGAAGGAATGCAAGGCTGGGCCTAGGAGCCGGGCTGAGGGTCAGGGCTAGGGATGGAGATAGGGAGCGGCTTCGTTGGCCGGAGATCCATGCAACAAACGGCTTCCTTCTGCGATTCTGAGCTGGGGGCTTTGGGTCCTCCCATGTGGCAGGAGTGACAAGAAGTGCTGGACTTCAGGAGTCCGCGCCTCCAGCCACCCCAGAATGGAGCCAGCTTCGGTCCCTGGCCAGGGAGGAGCCTGTAGGTGCCCACGCTTGGCACTGCAGACCTTTGGAAGGACAGCTTTGGTCTGCAGTTGAGATCGTGAGACCAGAGACCACAGCTCCGTCTGTTTGTCTGTTGTCTAGCGTGTTTGGATTTAATCGGCGTGTGGATAATGATTTGGTTGAAAAGCGAGCTGGTCATCAGTGGCCTGGACATTTCCCTCAACGTGGGGATGCACAGGTGCCTAGAGTTTTGTGTTCGGAGCATAGATGGCCGAAGAGAAGCACAAAGAGGACGGAGGGACCCGCGCTGTTAACAAAAGGGATCACGATGTCAGGGGAAGGCTCAGTTTGGGGCTCCATGTTTAATTTCTGTCTTCTCACCGAGTCTGCCTCTCTGGAAAGCGTGGAGACTCCCGCGTGCGCATTCACACCTAGCACGGGAAGATGGTGTGCCTGCTTTTATTGGCCCTGTGAAAAGGAACTTGTGAGGGAAGGAGCAAAGACAGTGGATGAAATGCTAAAAGGAAAAATGTCGACGGCTATTTTTGGCTCTCGATTAAAAGAGCTACAAGGCAAAAAATAAGCTGCCTAGTAACGGTAGTTTGCTAACCGCAGGAAAGCAATTTTAGAAGCAAATCTGGCCCCAGGGCTGCTGGGAGGATGCTGCAGAGGAGCTGTTTCCAAAGGCTGAGTCGGGGATCAGCTGTGTCCTCTGACTTGAAAGTCACCACGTCTTGTTAGGGTTTATTTGGATAATTAAAAAAAAATTTTTTTCCCTGAAAAATATAGAGTATATGTTTATTGTATAAAATATGGGAAATACCAAGCAGCATAAAGAAGGAAATGAAAAATACCCCTACCTACCACTCGCATACGTTTAGGTAACAGGGGCTGTCTGCATTTGGGGTAACCTTTCTTTCCCGTTCTTTCAGGGATGGTGGTCTTTCCCAAAGTGTGACATGAAGGGGCATCCCCCCATCATCTTCTGTTCTTTGTGCTCATTAAGGAGGTGAAGAGAGATTTGTGACTGTCCAAAGAGCTGTTATGGGCGCCTGGGTGGCTCAGTCAGTTAAGCATCTGTCTTTGGCTCAGGTCATGATCCCAGGGTCCTGGGATCGAGCCCCATGTGGGGCTCTCTGCTCAGCGGGGAGCCTGCTTCTCCCTCTCCCTCCACCTGCCGCTCCCCCTGCTTGTGCTCACTCTCTGTCCAATAAATAAATAAAATCTTTAAAAAAAAATTTTTTTAAAGTAAGGAGCTTTTAAAGAAGTAGCCAGAAGTCTATTTCTTCAATTTTTCAATACTAAAAAAAAATTGTGAGTGCAGCATATTGAAACATACGCATGTATCTATGATGTATGTCTATATAATGGCGTGTCTCTGGAGCACTTAGTAACTCTGTATGTGCTGTAACCTAGAGTGTTCATTTCTTGGCCTCACGGTCCCCGGCCTCCCATGCTGTCACCTCCTGACCCCAGGTGTGTCTCTTGTTTATAGCAGTGACTCTTCGAGAAGACAGTGCCAAGAGGTTGGAGAGGAGAGCGCGCCGAGTGTCTGCATGCCTGTCGGATTATTCGCTGGCCAGCGATAGCGGGGTATTTGAGCCTCCGACCAAAAGGTTAGAAGCTGATCTTCTCCCTCAGCAGACTTCCCACGGTGTTGCTGTTAAGCACAAAATATATGCATACTGGGACTTGGGCATATTGAAACTGTGTGTGTCTCCAAGGCTAGAATCTCTTCCTGGCTTCTCTCAACTTTGGTAGGTTGGGCCTTAGCAACCCGCCAAGAAAACTCCTCTGGCTTCTGTGCGGCGTCTGGAGGTTGGCCCTCCTTCCGTGGTTCGAGGATGACTTCCTCCTGTCTGGCCCTGGTCACTTGAAGGCCTAAGCCCATGAGAGCTGGGAAAGGAGAGCCAGTGGTTAAGAGAGACCTGCCTTTCTAGAAAGGCATTCATTAGAACTGAATGTTCTCCCTCCTTCCCCTCTTTCCTAAGCTAGAGGAATCACTTTGTAACGACAAAACACCTTTTGGGATTCTGGGCTTTATTTCGGTTTGGTAAGTTTGATGTCATTGTTTCCTTTCACGTGTCTGTCAGACATCTCACTTACTGCAAATGGTTTAAGAGTTAGTTTGGAAGTTTGTCCTGAGCAGCGCATGTGGTTCTGAAAGGTGTCCCGAGTCATTTTCTCAAAACCAACAGCACTTTGTAGGCAGGTACCCACGGAGGTGTGTCGGCCTGCTGTGTCCTTTCAGTCACATGAAGAATTTATTTAAGTCGCAACGTAAGAAAGCTCTTCTCGGTAAGAAGCGCCCCAGCACGAGAGAGCTTCTGCCAAACCGGCGGTCATCGGCTCCGGGGGGACTAACCCCGGTGACTTTCCGGTTTGTTCAGGAGTGAGGATACTGACGAGTTGGCACACGGAGACGCTTGTGGGAATGAAGGGCCCCAGATCCACGTTGGATTTTTGTGAGTACAGGCCACCCCGACCCTGTCGCTCCTAGAGATGATCTGTAGCTCGGCGCCCACCCAGTGACCCACACTTGCAGGCCGGGAGGGATGCGGGGACCCCCATGGTCTGGGTGGTGCTCCCGGCTTGGACACCCCCTCCCTGCCCGCTTCGGTGGCTCACGTGAGGGGACAGCGGTGGCGGGAAGGAGGGCTGGGGAAGAGCGGCTCCACTGCCGTCCCCCAGCACTGAGGGTCACGGCTGGCAGCTGTCCCCTCATGGAGCTGGGCCCCCGGGGCCGTAAGCAGGGGGCACGGGACGCCCTGGGCAGTGGCCGCACGGCCGGCCCGGAGTTGCCTCTGTCCGCGGCCGCACGGAGCACGAGCAGCTGAGGGCCGCTGCTGGAGGTCAGGCACCAGGAGGTGCCCGCTGCGGGGGTTGCGCAGCTCACGAGCTTCTCTTTTATTTCCTAGGCTCGACAGCGCCGGCGAGTGTCTTCTTGTGAACGTGCTCCAACTGAAGAATATTGCGGGGCTGGTCATGAAGGAGGACTGCAAGATGTAAGCTGGCTTGGCGGCAGCGGTTTGCCTCGGGGACCCGGGGACCACCCCCGGCCCGCGGTGGCAGCTCCTGGGCCGCCTGCACACGGCGCGGCTCGCTCACCTGTTCTGCTCGGCACTTGCGGGAGGGCAAAGCCCGTTTGGGAACCTGAGGTCCAAAGTTGATTCCTGATAAGATACCGGGCGGTGTCTGAATAGACCGGATTGGAAGTTTTAAGAAGAGTGGCCGATGTAGTGGCGCTCCGCTCTGTGATCCTGCGAAGTGAATGCAGAGGCTTCTGGCCGGGACCAGGGGCCCTTGTCTGAGCGAAGGAGAGGGAAAGTCGCGTTGTTGCCTTTGGAGGGCGCGACCTCTGTGAGCTCCGTGGCCCAAGAGGGCTGCCCAGCGGGTCCCACTCGCCAGGCGAAGAGCATACCAGTCAGGGGCCATTCAAGCCCAAGGGTGCAGTCCCCTTGCATGAGTCTTTACAAACTTGTCCTCTAAAGAGGGCCCTGGCCTAAGGCATTGGGAGCAACCCGGTTGTAAGTGGCTGAGGGCTCACCCTGGGATTTTGCTCACCCTGATGGCGTACTTCGCGGCATTCACCAGTGTTTGAGCTTCTCCTTTGTTCCCTGCTGAGAGTGGACAGGGCAGGAAGCCCAGGCTGGTGTGAATGGTCTTGGAGGCAAGGCAGGCAGAGCTTGAAGAGGGAGCCAAGAGGCCATGGAGAGATCAGTGCAGGTGGCTTCCCAAAAAGCTGGTGAAAGCAGGACCTGTTTGACTCCTTCCAAAGTCATAACTACTGACTTGTGAGCCTTTCTCTTTGTGAGCGTTTTTCCCTCCTGATCTCCAGGGGCACGTAAATTCTTTGGGCTTACTCTTAGGTGAGAAAAGGACCTTTTCCAAAAGACTTTAAGGTTCTGCCCGTGGGCATCCGAACAGGGAAACATACATGTGTATATGTGTGTGTGGTTCATGCATTTCTTCGCACAGATCTGTCAGTAAGTGTCGCCTCTGTTTTTTTCTTCCCTCTTTCTGGTTCCAGACACATCCGCGTCTATTTGCCGCCGATCGACTCTGGCACCCCAAACACTTACTGCTCTAAGGCTCTGGAATTCCAGGCCCCCCTGGTATTTAATGAAATTTTCAGAATCCCTGTGCATTCAAGCATGTTGACGTTGAAGTCACTTCAATTATATATATGTTCAGTGAATCAGCAGCTGCAGGAAGAACTGCTGGTATGTTCTTTCTCCTCCCTCCCCCTCTCTCCCTCCTCCCCCCATTTCCTTTCTGCTCTCCTCCCCCCCTTCCTTTCTTTGTGTTCCGATCAGTCTTTGTCTCTCTCCTGTCCCTTCTCTTCTTGTCTTCCTGCCTTTTTTGTGTGTGTTTCATTCTTTCTTGTCGCTCCATCTTTTGTCCTCTCTTTGTTTTTGTCTTCTTTATCTTTCTGCCTGCCTCTCTCTTCTTTGTCTTGGTCTCTCCCTCCCCTCATTCCTTCCTGTCTCCCTCCTACCCACCCTCCCCTCCTGCCTTTTTCCTGTGGTGGGTTGCTTAGAAATTGTCATCATGTGAAGCGATCTTTGTAGCTGGGAGTACAGAAAGGGATTTGTCTTGCCAGGTACACTGTACTTTAAATATATTATCTCAACTAATACTTGCAAGACTTCTGTATTGCCCTATATTGCTTCCAGTTGAGGGAACTAAGTGGGGTTGAGAAATTGGGCAAATAAAAGTAGAGGATGGTCAGTTAAATGTGAATTTCAAATAAACTATGGATTCTTTTTTAACATAAGTATGTCCCATGCAATATTTGGGACATACTTAATGCTTTAAAGAAATCCATTGTTTATTTGCAGTTCACATTTACTGGCTACTCTGTATTTTATCTGGTACTCCTTGAACTAAGACCACGAGCAGCTTGTGTTCAGTGCCCCAACCATGCACTGGCCAGGGCCATGACTTGGAAACCAGGATGGTTTCTTTGTGAGGTTGGAATTTCTCCCCTTGGTCTCACCCCTGGCAGTAGAATTAGATGGTGGCGTTCAGCCAGCCCTGTCTTGTTTCAGAAATCCCTGAGCGACTCCACAGCTCATCAGTGGGCAGACCCTGAGCCTGACCTCCCACCCCCACCCCCAGGTTGTCCACTCTCTGCCCCTGTCCCCCTCCTGGCACCTCCCCATGGGGCCGAAGCAGCGGGCCAGGAGCCTCAACAAGATCCTCTGCTACCACTTTGATTTTACTGCAGTCCTTTGAAGAGCAATGACACATTCTGCCTTTCTGGTTACGACTGAAGGGCCACCTTGATGTTTTACAAGATTCCCCTTGGTTGTTAAGGTGAAATCATTCAGTTCTGCCTTTTTTCCCCCTAAACACTCGTGCAGGGCATTGCTCAGATCAACCTGGCCGACTACGACGGGTCCAGCGAGATGCAGCTGCGCTGGTACGCGGTGCAGGTGTTCAGCAGCTGCGGGCCGCCCAGGGCGAGGGAGAGCGAGCAGCCGGGGGGTGCCGCCGGGGACCCCGCACAAGCTGCCGCCGCGGGAAAGACGGTACGTGTGCCCGCCTCTCCCGCCGCCGCCGCCCGCTGTCACGGGGCTTCGTCTCTCACGAGCGTCTCCGCACACTTAGTGTGGGAGCGTTAGCGGTGCCCGAGGGCAGGTTCAAGGGGAGGCCCGGGAGCGGGAGGCCTCGATGCATATGGCCCTTCGTGACGGTGGCTTTAATGCAGGCGAGCGACACACAGGTGGTTTTAACGTTTGCGCCCTCGGAGCTGCACGAGGTGGCCCGGCCACGTCCCGCTGGCCCGCGGCGTGCGCTTCTTGGCCCTGGAGAGCCCGCGAGGGCGGCCCGCCACGGCTCAGGGGCGCCCCTGTGCCCCCCGCAGGACGCGGTGACGGCGCTGCTGGCCAGAACCACAGCCCAGCTGCAGGCCGTGGAGCGCGAGCTGGCCGAGGAGCGGGTGAAGCTGGAGTACACGGAGGACGAGGTCCTCGAGATGGAGCGGAAGGAGGAGCTCGCCGAGGCCGTGTCCGAGAGGTACCCGAAGCGGCCCGTCGGCCAGGCCTGCGCCCGGTAGAGGCCGCCCTGCAGCGGCGGCGGCGTAGAGTAGATGGGCGAGCGCCTCGAGGGAACGGACTGCTGTCTGATCCCTTCTGCAGGCACCGTGGTACTGCTTTACTTCCACGTTTTTCCACGAAGAGCATCCTGTTTCCACAGCTTCCCGCGGCTTCTGAATACCTTTGCCTGAATTTGCTGCAGGGAGGGAGAGGGCATGGCCGAGGGGTGGAGTATGGTATTCGGGGACTGGCGGGAAGCCGGGCGGGGCTGGGAGCCAGGGCTCGGGTTGCTGACCTCTTCAGCAGCTGCAGCTGGCTGGTGGGGACACACAGAGCGTCTCACTGAAGGCCCTGTCCCGTGGTGTCCCCTAGAAAACAGGCCCTTTGACTTGATGGGAAGAGCGCCTGTGTGCGGTCGTGGGCAGCACGTGGGTCCCGTTGGGTGCGTCCGCGGCCGTGCGTGGCGTGCGGCAGGGCACCCGCTCCCGTGACGCGCACTTGGCTTTTTTCAGTTTTGTAAGGAACAGTGTACTTTATTTTTGTGACACTGTAGTTCTGGCGAGGGGTTTTTACCAAATTCAGTGGAGGGTAGGCAGAACGTTTTATGCACGGGAGGAGGAGGAAAGGGAAGGATCCACAAAATGCAAAACACGAAATCCTGGAGAGCTGTTAGCATGGGCTCCACTACACATTAGTACAGTGCACTGGAGAATTCCTGATAAAGAACAGAAGGCAGGGTGGACTGGAGAAGTTGGGGAAGAGAAGAGGAAGGGAAAGAAGGCCACCTGAACACACGTGTTGTGGGTTTTCGCAATGTCTGCCTTTAGGAGTTGGCAAGCCGACTCCGTGGACAGTGGCTGCAGCAGCTGCGCCCAGACCAGCCCCCCACACCCCGAGCCCTGCTGTGTTGGCGTCGACCCCCTCCATGGACACGCATTTGCTGGCCAGGCCGATCCCTACAGCCCCAAGAAACTTCAGCCTCCACCTCTGAAGGTAAGTGGAAACGGTCAGGGGGCTTCTGGGGTCCCCTGATGTTCTGCCGCCCAACCCCGGGCACGGCCCTGGAAGGAGGGCGTGTGCACCCTCCACGTGAAACGGGAGGGGGTGGGTGGACTAGATGGACGAGATGAAGCTGACAGGCTCCAGTGCGAGAGTAGAATGGTGTGGCTTACCTGCAGACACTCCCCGTGACCGTGACCGTGGTGACGGTGTGGTGGGAAACGGACCGTGCTGTCGGATCGGGGGGCCATAGACAAGGGGGCATTTCACGGAGAGCCGAGGGAAGGAAGGGAAGGGCTGAGTCTGTAAATGGCTCAAAATGGGCACAGCAGGTACCATAGACATGTCTCTCCACTCTCAACTGAAAAGAAAGGGGTGCCTGGGTGGCTCAGATGGTTAAGCGTCTGCCTTCAGCTCAGGTCATGATTCCAGGGTCCTGGGATCGAGCCCCGCATCGGGCTCCTGGCTCAGCAGGGAGCCTGCTTCTCCCTCTCTGTCTGCCTCTCCCCCCGCTCTCATGCTCTCTCTTTCTTTCTGTATCTCTGTGTCTCAAATGAATAAATAAAATTTAAAAAAAAAGAAAAAAGACAGCTACAGCTAGAAAGGGCAGATTGGTACTCCATGTTTCCCGGTGATGGCCTGTTCCCATCTTCAGGGCCCCGTACGGCTCAGGAGGTCTCATGTGTGATCGCTTGGAAGTGTCTCATCTCTTTGCTCCCTTTGCGACATTAGGCGCTACAAAGTGCCCCTTCGCCCCTTCTGTTCACCCAATCTTAGCTGTGCTCACGGCCACATCTTCAGCGAGGAAGTCTTTCATGTTTGCCATGACAGAGTCTGATGAAGCCTGTGAGGTTGGGAGACACTGAATCCATGCTCTATGGAAAGTTTTTTCCCAAACTGTTCAACTCCTCGAAACGTTTTATCACCATGGGCCCCACTGTCACCCCAAAGCACGAGTCCCGAGAGACGTGGCATCAGTTTCCCAAGCTGCACACGTGCGTGCGACCCCTCTAAAGGAGCTGTTCTGTGGCCCAGCCTCCCAGTGGTTGCTGGTGGTCAGCGTTTTAAGACCTTTAAAAGCATGGGCTCAAATGGGGGAGGGGGCTGTGGGAGGCGAGTTTGGTGTGTTGTCGTCATCCCCACCCCCACCCCCACCCCCGATTTTAATTTTGAAATACTTCAAATCTACAGACAGGTTGCTAGAGTAATAGAACAAATACCCACATGCCCTTCACTGGAGCTCCCCAGCTGTTCGTTCTTGACCACGTTTGTGTTCTCTCTTTGCGTGCGCACGTGGGTAGGTGCTAGGCCGTGCAGATGCAACAGTGAAGAAAATAAACGGGAAATCCTGCCCTCCAGGAGGAGGCAGGCAACAGCATCACTCAGGAAAACACAGCAGGCTTGAGAAGAGGGGCTGCTGGAGGACTAGATGGTAGGGAAGGTGGGGTTTGCGTTTTTAGAAAGATTTCCTATTTTAGAAGGGGTTTATATTTAGAAATATAGGTTTGCACTTATATTTTAGATCAGGATCGTAAAGCGGTGCAGCTTCTATGGATAACAGCATGGAGGTTCCTCAAAAATTTAAAAATAAGGGGCGCCTGGGTGGCTCAGTTTTTAAGCGTCTGCCTTCAGCTCAGGTCATGATCCCAGGGTCCTGGGATCGAGCCCCACATCAGGCTCCCGGCTCGGCGGGAAGCCTGCTTCTCCCTCTCCCACTCCCCCTGCTTGTGTTCCCTCTCTCGCTGTGTGTCTCTGTCTGTCAAATAAATAAATAAAATCTTAAAAAAGAAAATTTAAGGGCGCCTGGGTGGCTCAGTTGGTTAAGCGACTGCCTTCAGCTCAGGTCATGATCCTGGAGTCCCGGGATCGAGTCCCGCATCGGGCTCCCTGCTCGGCAGGGAGTCTGCTTCTCCCTCTGACCCTCCTCCCTCTCATGCTCTCTGTCTCAAATAAATAAATAAAATCTTAAAAAAAAAAAAAAAAAAAAGAAAATTTAAAAATAGAACTCCTGTATGATCCAGCAATCCCACTTCTGGATATATCCAAAAGAATGGACATCAGGGTCTCCAAGTATTTGCATGCCCATGTTCCTAGCAGCATTATTCAGGATAGCCTTAGAGATCGAAGCACCCCGAGAGTCCATCTTCGGATGAATGGATAAGGAAAAGGTGGTCTGTCCATACAGTGGAATATCATTCAGCCTTAAAAAGGAAGGAAATCCTCTTACATTCTACAACATAGGCAAACCTTAAAGACATTGTGCTAAGTGAAATAAGCCAGCCACGGAAGGGCGAATACTGCGTGATTCCACATACAGGAGGTCGCTAGAGTATTCAGATTCATATGGACAGCAAGTACAAAGGTGGTCGGTAGGGGACAGGAGGATGGGGAGTTGTGTCATGGGCTCAGAGTCATTTTGGGAAGATGAAAAAGTTCTAGAGCTCTGTTTCCCAACCATGTGAATATATTGAACACTACTGAACTATACACGGAAAAATGGTTAAGGTAAATTTTACGTGTTTTTTACAATGAAAAAGAATGAAAGGTCGTGGAAGCCTCACTGAGAAAGCAGTTTTTGAGCAGAAGCCTTAAGGCAGGAGTCTCAGGAGCCTTGTGCGGGGCTGGGGAAGAGCATTCAGGTACAGAGAGTTGCAAGTGCAGGCCCACAGGTGGGGGTGTGGGGGGACTGATGAGAGAACAGCAGCGAGACCAGTGTGGGGCAGGGGGTTGTCAGAGCCAATGATAGAGGGAAGGGAAAAGACCAAATCATGTAGGGCCCACTCCAGACTCTCCCTTTTCTCTGAGATGATTGGGAAGGTGGTGGGTGGTTTTGAGCCCGGGGTTGACGTGATCTGACTTAAGGTTTTCCGTGGATTTTTCTTTCCTTCTTTCTTTCTTTTTTTTTTTTTTTTTTTGAGAGAGTGTGCATGCGAGTGGGTGGGGCGGTGGGGGGAGAGGGTGAGAATAGCCCAAGCAGACTCCACACTGAGTGCAGAGCCCAACGCAGGGCTGGATCTCATGACCCTGAGATCATGACCTGAGCTGAAATCGAGAGTTGGACGCTTAACCAACTGAGCCACCCAGGCGCCCCATGATTTTTCCTTTTCTAAAATAATTTTTTGGCATGAAATTTATAGAAAATGAAGTGAACTTATTTCACAGTGAACAGTTCAGGGGCATTTAATATGTTCACAATGTGGGCAACCACCACTCTGTCTAGTTCCAAAACATTTCCATCATCCCTAAGTAAAGCCTCGCACCTATGAGACTGTCACTCCCCAAGCCTCTGGCAACCATCGATCTGCTTTCTGCCTAGGAATTTGCCTGTTCTGGGAGCTTCTCTCTGTTTCATGGCTGAGTAGTATTTCCTTGATTGGTATGCCTCCCTTTGTTCATCCATCCATCTATGCATGGACATTCGGACTGTCTTTACCTTTTGGCTACATGAATAATGCTGCTGTGAATGTTTGCGTGCAAGTATTTGTTTGCACACCCGTTTTCAGTTATCTTGAGTGAATCTCTAGGAGTGGAATTGCTGGGTCTAACTTCAGCTTTACCAGGATCTCCCGTGTTGCTGGATTGAGAAGAGACTGAAGGGGGGGAAGGAGGTGTGGAATTGGGGAGACCGGCCAAAAGCTTCCTGTGCCAGTTGGGCATGAGATGATGGTGACCCAAAGGGAAGTCTGATGAAAAGTGGTCAAACCATGCGTCCTCATGGGGCACCTGGGTGGCTCAGTTAGTTAAGCATCTGCCTTCGGCTCAGGTCTGGGATCGAGCCCCGCATCGGGCTCCCTGCTCAGCGGGAAGCCTGCTTCTCCCTCTGCTGCTCCCCCTGCTTATGCTTTCTCTCTCTCTTTCTGTCAAATAAATAAATAAAATCTTTAAAAAAAACCCAAAAAAACAAGCTTCATCATAAACCTGGAGCCAGTAGGATTTGGTCTCGGACTACATACAGTGTGTACGAAAGAGAGCAGAGTCCAGGATGGCACGAAGATTTTTTTTTTTTTTTTTTTTTTTTGGCACGAACAATTGGAGAGTAGAGATGATTCCTATAGGAGGAGATGCGTGTGTAGCGGGGAGGAATATCAAAAATCGTTTTGGACATCAACGTGAAATGCCAGTTAGAACTCTGAGTGGAAAAGACCAGGGAGGTTCATGTGAAGCTTATTGCTCATGTTCTAGAAAAAGTCATGGTAATAATGAACTACTACTCTCTAGGTCGATAAAGAAACCAACACAGAAGATGTCTTCCCAGAAGAAGTAGCGAGTCTTCCGAAGGAGAGGCCCAGCCGCAGGGCTCGCGGGTCGCCTTTCGTTCGGAGTAGCACAATTGTGCGTTCGCAGACCTTCTCCCCTGGGGCACGAAGCCAGTACGTTTGCAGAGTAAGTTGAAATTCCTTTGCCTCTTGACTGGAACGTCTTCTTTTTTCTTTTCTTTTTTTTTTCCCCTTTGTCATGTTTTATTTTTACTGTTCATGCTGAAAGACCTGTGCGTTCGTTCCCCCAAGTGCCGATAATGCGCAGCCACACGGGGGGCTATGCGATCAGTATGGTGGCCCATCTACCCCTCGCCCATGCATATCTCACTCTGGATTTCTTCAAGATTCTGATACATTTCTCCCCGGATTTTCAGTTTGTATGTGTACCAACTCATGTTCGGGAAGCAGGGCGAATAGGAGTAACAGGTTGGAACAGGGAATATCCTGAATTGGGTGGAGATTGTTAAGTCAGGCCACTGAGTGGTCCGAAGTCCTGAAGTGCAGCTTAGCTGGGTCCCAGGGTGGACGGCAGCCTTGAAGACTCGGGGCACTGAGACAGGGTTCTGACCCCCCAGCCCGTAAATTCTCACCCCAAGGTGATGGCAGGAGACATCGCGTGGTTCTCAGCCTGGGCTGTACCGTGCAGTGAAGTCGTGGAGGCGGGCGCTTCACAGAATGCTGGTGCCTGGGTTCCACCCCCAAGGTTCACTGCGGGTCAGGGTGGGGCCTGGACATCAGAGCTTGGGGAAGAGCCCTGATGATTCTGATGCTGAGAACCCCGCTGCGGTCCTTGAAGATAGGACGGAGGTTGGAGGTTGGCCGGCAGTGGTGGTGTGACAGTGACAGGATGGATTAGGAAAGAGAAGGCAATTGGAAGGGTAAATGGTCACGACACAGTGGCCTGATGGGGCTGTTTGGATCGAGGAGAGCTTTGACCCCTCCCGCCTCCAAACTGGGCTCGTTGAAGTAAAGCCCCTTCCCTTGACGGGGACTGCCAAGGAGCTGGCTCTGGTTGGGCAAAACCAAAGTTCAGTCATACGAGAGAAACGGGCTCAGATGTGTGCTAGAGACACCGGGAGTATGGTTCACGGGTCCCCTGGCCCGTGCTCAGGGTCAGGAACTTGCTGGGACCCACAGAACTCGGCAAAGCCGTTAGATTCACTGTTGTGGTTTATTACGGTGAAAGGATGTAGACCAAGGTCAGCAGAGAGGAGGCACGTCGGGCAGCACTCAGGAGAGACCTGCCGCAGGCCTCCGGGTCTCTTCCAGCGGGATTGTGCGGATGGTCTGGTCACCTGTCACTGCTGGGAGAAGCCACACGCGTGGAGTATTGCCAACCGGGGGTTTTGTGGAAGGTTGGTCACACAGGCAGAGCTGACTGCCTGCATGCCTGACCTTCGTCTCTAGAGGTCAAGCTGATGGCCTAAGGCCCCCGCTATAAGTCACATTGTTAGCAGAGACTGTGTGGCCTGGCTCGAGGTCCCCAGGTAAACAGAGACACTCAGGCAGGACATCCCAGGGGGTTACGGGTCACTTCCCAGGAGCTGGGCAAGGACCAAACCTTTCTTGGAGCAAGGTTAATCCTTTATCCCACGGCGGGAGTGGGGGGTCCCAAGCTGCCCCTGGGCCATTTGCAAGACCTGCTGCGCGTCTCCCCACAGAAGCCAGGTGTCCCGTCGTGGCTGCCCTGGGTCCCACGGCATCCGGCTCGGGCACCCCCGCTCCATGAGGCTGTAGCCCCGTGGGGGCTCGTGCTTAACCAGACACCTACCCGGAGGCGCTAGACCCAGGGCTGCCCTCAGGTCCCTTCCCCACTGTGGGCTGTTGCCGACCCACCGCCGAGTGGGCTCGGGTCCGCTGGGTGAGAAGGGCGGTGCAGGGAAGGAGGAAGTCGTCTACCTCCCCAGAGGAAGGCGTCCGGCTCCTGTGCGGGTTCTGTGCCCTGCGTAAGAGCATGCATGTCCGGGGGACGCTGGGAGAGGCCTTTTCGTTCTTACCTGTCGGTCACGCTGGAGTGAGGGCGCGTATACGCCGCCGTGCCCTGGCCTTTCCGGAGTATTTGGGGTTAGTTGGCGTGGAAAAGAAGGCCACGAAGGCAAGGACTTTGCCTTTCCCACAGATACGCATTGATCCAGAAGCAAGAAGCCGCCGCCGAAGGTCTTGGCTCCTATAAAGAAGGTGTTACTTCTTTGTCTTTTTAGACGCAGACCTTTTCCCTCGACTGGCAGAGTGGATGTCAGTGCCGCTGGCTTGTCCTCCTACCAGGAGGGGGGTCTCTTTCTGGAAAGTCATTGTTCCCCAGCTCTTGGCAAAGCCAGGAACAGAGCGAATGAGGAGGACGTGTAACGTGAAGGGCGGTGGGGGGTCGGTTTGCTTATTTGGTCTGTTCTGGGTTGTCTTTAGTTTTACTTGGTTCTTGGCGTGGGGGACGTTGCGTCCTCACTGAGACCAGAAGGCTTGGTAGACGTGCCAGCTGTTGTCCGTGCGTTTGGGTCCCCGTGAGGAGAAGTGAAGTCACGCAGTTCAGCTACACAGAGAGAATGAAGACTGCACTTCTGAGAAAGTGTTTCTGAACATCATTCTTTTTGGCACAGCTTTATCGTAGTGACAGCGACAGTTCGACGCTGCCCCGGAAGTCCCCGTTTGTCCGAAACACCCTGGAAAGACGGACCCTCCGCTATAAGCAGGTGCGTGCCACGTAAACTAATACGGAGCCTGGACTTAGCCTGGGAGCTATTTTTACAGAACTTAGAAGGTAGTATTTCAGGTAACATTAATTTAAAGGTAATATGTTTGTTTTTTAAAAAGGTATTTATTTCCTTATCGAGGTATAATTCTTAGAAGCGTAACGTCAAAACGTTACCACTCTTAATTTCCTAGGATAACATCATGATCTGAGATAATTCATGATCTTTACCTTTTTAAATATAATAAATTAACGAAGAGCCGGGCGCCTGGGTGGCTCAGTTGGTTCAGCGACTGCCTTCGGCTCAGGTCATGATCCTGGAGTCCCGGGATCGAGTCCCGGGATCGAGTCCCGCATCGGGCTCCCTGCTCGGCAGGGAGTCTGCTTCTCCCTCTGACCCTCCTCCCTCTCGTGCTCTCTGTCTCTCATTCTCTCTCTCTCAAATAAATAAATAAAATCTTTAAAAAAATAAAAAATAAAAATAAATAAATTAACAAAGAGCCAACCAACCTATACAGAAGACTCTCTTTTGACGAGGGAGTAGGAGTATGTATAGTTGAGAAATCGGTGCTTTTCAGCATAGAGCAGTCTTCTGCAAAGGCCTGTCCTGCTTGCATTGACTTTACCCAGCGAGTGTTTCCTCCACACGGCGTCAGTTTACAGAGTTTTGCTGCTTTCTGTTTGTAAGCGAGTAGTTCCTTGTCTTTTTCAGGCTAAGATTCTTTTAAAGAGATACTAGTAGATCCAACTGTGTGTGTGCTGCCTGTGTTTAGAGCGCTGTTGACACCTCGGACTGGGTCACTGTTGTGGGGACTGCCCTGCGCGCCACCCCCCCCACCTTGTGACAGCCAAACGTGTCTCCAGACACTGCCCAGCGCCCCCGGAGGGCCAAGTCATCCCTGGTTGAGAACCGCCGAGCTCTGCTATGAATTGAGCAGTGCTTTTAAGTGAACTTGTACTTCTTAAATCGTACCATGTCTTTGCATTCCAGTTCCGTACGTGGGCAGAATAGTGTCACGTGTGTGTAAAAAGCCTACAGTTATCCAGCGCACTGAGCAACGCTGGTGTGTGTTTCGGTAACTGCCTTTCCTGAGGTCGTTTCCCTTTGGATGGGAAATAACTGTTCTCAGCGCCACACAAAAAAGTCTTCTCTCATCTTAGTTTTCTTACACATGGCAGGTTTGCTTACTTGAGGCTCATATGGGGAGGAAAGGTTTTGACAGCTTGTGTGTGTGAATGTATAATCTTAAACAAAAAGCACTCAGATGGTTTGCGACATGCTTTTCCCCCTTTATACCATGGATCATTTAAGATTTTCCAGTATATTTTTTCTACTTTTTACAGTGGCTGTATTTTATGCTGACCTTATAATTCACTTAATCCATTTTCTCTTGTCACATATTTAGGTTTTCTCTGTCCTGAACTTGAATTGCATCACTTTTGCATGTCATGAGTTGTGCCTTTCAAAGGCAAGTCAAAATGAAATTTCAGAACCAAAGAAAATGCGTGGCTTGATGTGTATTGTCAAGTAGAACTTCAGAAAGATTGTACCCATTCTTTATTTACTTACTTGTAAGACTATACCCGTTTTTGACCCCACCAGCTCCATATGGGATGGTCTCTTTCTCCACACTTTTGCAAACGCACGGGTCACCATTAAAGCAGACCACTAGCGTCACTAACTTGATATTGAACTGGAGACTTAATCTCGCCCAAATCTGGTTGACACCGGCCACACGTAGAGAGACACCCGTCCCCCTTCGTTGTGGAAGGACCTCGCAGACGGCCGCGGCGCCCCGGTGCCGGCCCAGCGTGTGTGCTCACAGCTGCCGTCTCCCGCAGCCCTGCAGGTCCTCCCTGGCCGAGCTCATGGCCCGCACCTCCCTGGACCTGGAGCTGGATCTCCAGGCCTCCCGAACGCGGCAGAGGCAGCTGAACGAGGAGATCTGCACCCTGCGTGAACTGAGGCAGCGCTTAGAAGACGCGCAGCTCCGGGGCCAGACGGACCTGCCCCACTGGGTGCTGCGGGACGAGCGATTCCGGAGCCTGCTGAAGGAAGCAGAGAGGCAGGTGAGAGGCCGGGGCCCTGCCTGGAGAGACCTGCCACGGAGTCCCTCTGGCGTCCTGGGCCCGCCTGGTCATGATGATGGAGCAGCTGTAAACACTCCGAGTGCTCGTCTGAAGGAGCTGGGTTTCTCCCTCCCCACGTGGGCCAGGCAGCTGGTGTTCCCAGTGGCAATGACAGCTGCCTCGGGTGGGGGGCTGCTGGAAGGAAGGCTCCCCAGGCCCCCCTCTGGCATGGCCACCCTCCGCTTTGTAGTGGAATGTTCTGGGTCCGGTGTCTGCCAGGCATGACCCCAGGGACCCCAGTAGCTCCTGTGAAGATTCCCTGTAGCAGGCGTGTGTGTGGATGGGGCAGGCCTTTCTCCCCTCGGGAGCCCAGGGCTGGGAGTAGCTTTGTTCCTTCTTCCTTAAAACTAGAAGTAAAAAATGTCTCGTTCATCCAATGGTGCCGTTCCAGACAAGACAGACAAAACTTGACTTCCATAAAGAACAGGCAGCTGAGAAGATGCTGAAGAAGGCCTCCAAAGGGGTCTGCCAGCTGCGTGGGCAGAAGCGCAGAGAGCCCATCCAGGTGCAGACCTTCAGGTAGGGAAGGCCGCAGGCCCCACTTGCTTGCTTTCCTTTTCCTGTCATACCTTTGCCGTCATAAAAAGTAAGTATTTTAAAAAAACCCACGGGCAGTTCAGAATAAAACCAGAATCCCCACTGCTAATAGCATTTTGACTTTTTCTTCTTTTGATCCTTTTTGTCTAGACACTGGTTTTCTTCATGCTGCTTGTCATAATGCGGGTTCGAGTTTGCATTTTGCTTTTTTTTTTTTATAAAAATATCCTGTGTGGGGCGCCTGGGTGGCTCAGTCGGTTAAGCGACTGCCTTCGGCTCAGGTCATGATCCTGGAGTCCCGGGATCGAGTCCCGCATCGGGCTCCCTGCTCGGCGGGGAGTCTGCTTCTCCCTCTGACCCTCCCCCCTCTCATGTGCTCTCTCTCTCATTCTCTCTCTCAAATAAATAAATAAATAAATCTTTAAAAAAAAAAAATATCCTGTGTTTCCACATAATCTGTTGTCTTTTTTGGCTGTAATGTTTCATCTCAGATATAATTTGCCTAACTACTCTATTTTATAACCTTCTTTCCAAATACTTGCTATTGTGAACAATATATATCTATTCACACGTATTACCTTTGCCTTTTTACCTAACTTTTGATTGAAGCGTAACAGATGTACAGGAAGGCGTGCATTTTGTATGTGTGAAGCAGTTCGGTGAGACGTCCCACCTCTGCACGGCAAGAATCGAACACTGTCGGTGCCCCCCCCCTTGATTTCCCACACCAGAATAACCACAGTTTTGAATTTGAATGGCGTACGTTAGTTTTCCCTGTTTTTGTTTTTCGTATGAGGAGAATTAACAGCGACATCTATATTCTTTTGTGTCTGACTTTTTAAAAAATCAAGGCAAAATTCACATAGCATACAAGTCACCGTTTTAAAGTGAGTGACTCCATGGCATTTAGTGTAGTCACAGTGAGGTGGAACCGCCCCCCTGTCCTGTTCCAGAACATTCCTTCACCCCCGAAGGAAACCCCGTCCCCATGAAGCAGCCACTCCCCGTTTCCCCCTCCCCACAGCCCCTGCCCCCCCCCCCCCCACCGCCCCAGGCTGCTTTCGCTCTCTCTGGCTTTGCCAATTCTGGGCGCTCCATGTAAGTGGAGTCCTGCACTATGTGATCTTTTGTGCTTGGCTGCTTTGACTTAGGATAATGTGTTAGAACCTCAGTCCTTTTTATGGCTGAATAATATGTGTCCTTTAGCCTTAATTTTTTTATACCCTGACTTTTCACATCCCCATCATAAAGGGACCTACAGCACTGTAACTGTCTTGCTTCAGTCATGATTTAGAACTCCTTCATTTGTATAGCTTTTCATATTCATTCGTTTGTTAATAGAGCAAATATTTGTAGAGCACCTTCTACACAACAGGCACTCCTCTAGGCACCGCAGACAGCCCTTACCCTCATGGGGCTTCCTGACGTCTGTTAAAATTTAGAGAATCCGTATACAGACAGATGTGTTGTTAGGAATTGAAGTTCACATTTTTGTATGAGTAAGAGAAGCTGTCATTGATATGAGAGCTTTCGTTGCATTTATATCCACTTCTAACCTGTAATCCTTTCCAATCCCAGGGAGAAGATAGCATTTTTTACAAGACCAAGGATTAACGTACCTCCTCTGCCTGCCGACGATGTTTGATACAGTGCTTTGTACACATGAAGTATTTATCTGCCTGGTTTGTTTTCATGAAGTTCTTAGACTAGCTAAATTTGTCCTTAAAATATTTGTGCAAAGCTATTAATATACACACTTTGTAAAAAACACACACATATATCTATACATATATATTTTATAATAGTGACGGCAACAGGGCTTGGTTTTTCCTTGTTGTGAAATTGACATCTCTGAAGACAGGTTATTTTATAAAAGATCAACTATCGTGTTAAGAGTGTACAGTTTTTACGCTGTTTTATTTGACTTAAAGGCTGGAAGACAGAAACAAAGTGAGTTCAGGCAAATTCACTGTATTGTAATTTATTTATAGTACTTTTTTTTCCTTGAAGGAAAATACTGACTTTAAGATGTATTTTAAGACTAAACTTTTGTGCTTCAGTACTTGTCATGCTGTAGAATGGGACTTTGGGGCCGGTTTTGTTTCTGACACCCAAAACGCAAACACTCTGCTGGATTCGTCACTCGTATCAGTTTCCAAAATGTGTATTTACCGTGTATCTTGTACACGCCGCACTCCGCGTTCGCTTCCGATCCCGGCCGCGCGTGCGTTGCCGAGCTGTGTCCCGCGCGGACTGCGCACCGACAGCCTCTCCTGTTGTCTTGTGCGACGTTGTGTGCTCCCTGGGAGTCTGAGGGGGGCCCCGGGCCTCAGCCGCCTGTCCGGCGTGGCTGGCCACACTGCCTGCCCTCACCAGACCACAGGCAGCCCCCGCCTTGGGTCCGCCCCATCCGATCATGACCAGCGGGGCCGCGTGGAGCTCCTGCACTATGACTCTGTCATGAAGGCAAGTGACGGGAACTAGGAGCGCGTGTGTCCAGACAATCCTTGAGTCCACGGATGGGCGTAGCGCTTATAACGTAGACGTGATGGCCTTTGAAGGCGCTTGTTTGAGGAAGGGAGCAGGCATGCGCGGGTAACGGCAGTTACCCAGCGAGTCACTGACAGGAGAGTATTTGATTTAAATCAAACTCCGACCCCTCCATACTGGAGTCTACCCAGTATTTGCTAAGAAATCTTAGAAGTAGTTCTTGAGGGGAAAAGAAATTTTATGTAATAAAATGTAATAAAAATATACCAATATTCTTTTAAAATGTCAAATGATCTAAATATTTTGCCGAACGCCTATTTATTATACATGAAATGCGCTCTCCCTTCCGAGGCCTCAGACCAGTCAACGAGGTGGGTCACACGAACCGTACAAGAAGACAGAACTCTCTTCCTAGATCTTTCTGCCCCTCCCTGGGAAAAGCCCACCTTGAATCAGAGTCTCTCTCTCTCTCTCCTCATTAGTCTGTAACCGCCCCCTTGTATAACCTGCCTGCCTTTTTACATTGTTAAAACTGAATTTTGTAGAAGCATTTCATTGGCACGAGGCCTGTCACAGACAGGGGGTTTGTCCCTGGCGCTGGGACTGAAGACGCCGTGCTCTCACAGCACGCGACCCCAGCTTTCTCTTTGTGCCTCTAGTCGCGCTGCTTTTTGTTGGCTAATTTCTCTGGGTACGTAACCCCCAACGGAGGTAGAGATGCGCCAGGTCCCAGAGCTTGCCAGAACCGCCCCCCCAGCCGAGCGCATTGCCAAGCAGGTGAGGACAATGGCAGGCCTTCTCTGTGCCCCCAGCTGATGATACTTTTAACTCCAAAAAAGAACTGCCACCAGACTTGGGCGTGTGGAGGGCAAATCATGCCCCTCTCAGGTGCCCTGCTCCCTGGCTACGGAAAGGTGCCCGGGAACCATTGCTTGGTGGCTGTTCCTCAGCACCTGCCACGTGGAGCACTCTCTGCGTGGGATGGGGGCTCGAGGCAACTTTTCTGCCAACCCCTATTAGTAGCAACGGGGGGGGGGCACCCACTGCGCCAATACAGAAGGCCCTCCACCCAGGGGTTTCAATTAACTTCACTGCCCAGTAGATCTAGGCTTCTGTTTGGGGTGCTTACCCCCCACACCCCAGAGTTTGGTTGTGTGTGTGTGTGAGTTGTTTTTTTTTTCAAGAAAAGCTCTTTGCCCCACCAGGAACAAACAGTCCCTACTCCAGTGGCAGTCCGAGGAGTACTTGGATTTGCCACCAGATTGACTTCTAATTGACTTCTCCCGCCTCCCTGCAAGGGTCTGCCTTTGCACCCAAATGGGACCAGAGTGAGCAGGAGAGAAAAGCCAGACAGATGGGGGAGGTAGAGGGTGATGGGCTCTGTGCGACACAGCCGAGCCGGCGGCGGGCAGAAGTCCCATGATTGGCTTCTCTCTCCTGACCTGGTTTTGCAGCTTCTTTCTAGTGAAGACTGCCGCCCCCCAGCGAATAGCCCACACGTCAGAAAGGTGAAGTCCTGTTGTCGGAAGGGCTGTTTCCATCTTCTGTTTGAATTTGCCCATAACCGTGCTTTGGGATAAGAAAGCTGCCCTGTTTGACCAGCACTTCCGGCCCAGAGACAATCCCAAGTCCGCCACCAGGATTCTTTAGAAGCAGTGCAATGAGTCAAAGGGAATTTGGTCTTCACGTCATCCGATCACTAAATTGTCACTGCTGAAATAAGTAACCTTCTGTCGTGGGAATAAGTTCTAATCAGTATTCATCTCTGTTTTTGTCACTCTTCCCTAATTGTGTCATTTGTATTGTTTGAAAGTATTCCTTCTATAAAATTAAACTAATCTGCCTTAAGAACAGAATGGAAATGCGTGACTTTTCTTTTTTTAAGCAAAATGTAATTACATGGACTTAAATATATAAGAATATACCAACTTTTTCGGGGCTCCTGGGTGGCTCAGTCGGTTAACCGTCTGACTCTTGGTTTTAGCTCGGGTCATGGTCTCAGGGTCATGAGATCGAGCCCCGTGCTGGGCTTTGTGCTCAGTGTGGAGTCTGGGATTCTCTCTCTCCCTCTGCCTCCACCCGTCCATCCCCTGTGCACGTGATCTCTCTCTAAATAAATCTTTTTTAGAAGTATTTTTTTTCAACATAAAAACAAAGATATAAAAGAATAGTAAAATGAACACACATGTGGCCCTCCCCCCTCTCAACGTGGATCAGTCACGGCCGACTGTTTCGTCTACATCTCTACCTGTCTCCCTTCCTGTGTTTCAGAGCAACTCCCACACACCTTCTCAGTTCAGCTGTAAATACTTTCAGTATGTATTGCTAAAAGAGAAAAGCATACACGGCATCCTCACATTTTAACATTTAATAACTTCTAATGTCATTAAATATCCAGAGTTCACTTTTCCAACTGTCTCGTGTCATTTTTTCACTGAACAGAATCCAAATATATATTTATTGGGGTTTTTTATGCCTATGGGGTTTTTTGGGTAACAGTTCTCTTGAGATAGAATTCACATACCATGTAGTTCACCTGTTTAAAGCATGTAATGTGTCAGTTTTGGGGATATTCGTAATTATGCAGGTGTGACACAATCAATTGTAGAACTTTCTCATCACCCCAGAAAGAAACCGCGGACCCATTAACAGTCACCCCCAATTCTCCCTCCCAACCCCTGGCAACCACTAATCTGTTTCCTGGCTCTCTGGATTTGTCTATCCTGGATACTGCGTGTAAACGGAATCATGCAATATGTAGCCTTTTGTGTCTGGCTTCCTTCTTCCAGCGTTGGGTTTTCCAGGTTCATCCACGTTGTCGCAGGTGTCAAGACTTCATTCCTTGTTATTGCTGAAGAATATCCCATTATGTGGACAGAGCACATTTTGTGTATGCATTCATCAGTCGATGGACATTTGGGTTGTTTCCACTCTGGGTAATATGAATGATGCTGCCACCATCATTCATGTTCCAGTTTTTGGGTGGCTGTATGTTTTCATTTCTCTTCGGCCTAAAGCTAAAGGTGGAATTGTTGGGTCAGACGGCAACTCTGTGATGAGCCTTTTGAAGAGCTGCCAGGCTGTTCGCCCAAGCAGCTGCACCGTTTTCCATCCCCACCGGCAAGGCACGAGGGTTCCGATTTCTCCACATCCTAACCAACACATGTCGTTTCGATCGTGGCCATCCTTGTAGGCGTGAAGTGGTATCTCACTGTAGTTGTGTCTGTCTTTAATCTACAGGATCTATAGTAACAGCAGGGTAATTTGTTGAAGAAACAAGACTGCATGTCCTCCGAGCCTCCCATGTTCTGGGTTTTGCTGATTGGCTCCCTGTGGTGGAGCTTAGCATGTTCCTGTGAATTCTAGTTTCAACGAATAAGTACTGGGGGGAAAGCTGTTGTTGAATCTAGAAGCTTGATCAGATTCCAGTTCATTTCCTTCCCTTTTTGCGGGGAGGGGCAGGGAACGGGTCACGAGAATTCCTATGTTCATCCATCAGTGACTTACAATATCTTTTTTTTTTAATGTTTGAAACTTGGCAGTCGATGCCTAGATCCATTAACTCACTAAGGTTGCACAGTGATGATACTCTAATTCTATTAATTTTTTAAAACTTACTTTGAAATACCTTTATAAAGAGAAACCCATCTATTTGGTTACCTAGTGGTACAGTGTGGGTAAACCAAGATAGATGCTTAATTTGTTTATTGACCAGTTTTGAAAATAATTATTGGGGCACCTGGGTGGCGCAGATGGTTAAGCATCTGCCTTCGGCTCAGGTCATGATCCTGGAGTCCCGGGATCAAGCCCCACATCGGGCTCCCTGCTCAGCGGGGAGTCTGCTTCTCCCTCTGACCCTCCTCCCTCTCATGCCCTGTCTCCCATTCTCTCTCTCAGATAAATAAATAAAAAATCTTAAAAAAAAAAAAATTCAGCAATGAAAAGCCTTCTGCAGACATTTTTTCTTGTTTTTGCCAGGGTTTCTGTGGGATAGATCCCTAGAAGTGGGAGCTCTGGGTCAAAGCATAAAGGCATATGGGGTTTTGCTGGGTATCCCCACATTTCTCTCATAGGGGCTGTGCCATACTGTGTTCTCAGCAGCGCTGTATGCACGGTTCCCCACAAGGTCACCAACGAAACGTCACATTGTAAGTGTTTGCCGCTCCAGAGATGAGAAATGATACCTCCGCAGGGTCTAAATGTGCACGAGGCTGCTTTCATCATAGAAGCTTTTTGAGATGTTCTATTATCTGCGAGGGCTGTCCCTCTTCCCTTTTTTTCAGCATTTTCTCGGCTATTCTTGCTTATTTGTTCTTCCAAATGAACTTTATGATCAACTCGTCTAGCCCCAGGAGTGGAGGGAAATGATGGAATCATTACCAGAATACTTTACAAAGTAGGGAGAGCTATGACATCTTTATGATGTTGAATCCTCTCATCTGAGAATGTATTATATATATTTCCATTTGTTCAAGACAAATTTTGTGTCTTTCAGGAATGTTTTACGTTCTACTCATTTCTATTTTAGGCATTTCTTGAGAGGTTTTGGCCTATTTTATTAAAGACCGAAAATAAAGATAAGATAAATACTATGCATACAAGACTATATACCTTTTTTACAGACTTCAGTGAAAAAGCTAGTGTTTCCCATTAAATAAAATGTTGGCTTCAGGAAGGGAGTTTCACACACACATTTATGATGTTAAGGACGAACCTGTCAATTTCTATTTTCTTGAGTGTTTTCAACATGAACGGGTATTGGGCTTTTCAAATCCCTCTTCTCCATCTACTAAAATGATCATATGATTTTCCTTAGCTCTAAAAATATGATTGATTGTATTAATGGATTTCCTAATAGAGACCTTTTGTAAAATAAACTCCATTTGGTCATGATATATACACATTCCTGTGCTTTGGAGTTGGTCTGCTAGTATTGTATTTATAATTTTTGCTTTGGTACACTTTTTTTTTTTTTTTTTAGTGCAGTCTTTGCCGGGTTGAGGGTCAGTGTGGTCCTTTATAAAGTAAATTGGGGGGCGCCTGGGTGGCTCAGTCGTTAAGCGTCTGCCTTCGGCTCAGGTCATGATCCCAGGTCCTGGGATCGAGCCCCACATCGGGCTCCCTGCTCGGTGGGAAGCCTGCTTCTCCCTCTCCCACTCGCCCTGCTTGTGTTCCCTCTCTCACTGTGTCTCTCTCTGTCAAATAAATAAATAAAATCTTAAAAAAAAATAAAGTAAATGTGGAAGTTTTTCTTCTTTTTCTTGGCTCTGAGAGGGGAGTTCGGAAGCACTCTGCTGAGGGGCCTTTTGGGTGTGCTCCGTGCTTTTCATCATAGGCACGGTCTTGAAATCACTTACTCTTATTTCTTCGATGGAAACTGAGCTTTTTAGACCTGTCCCTTGAGGTCAATTTCGGTAGAGTTGTATTTTTCTTAAAAATGACCCATTTAATCTGTTTTCCTGTTTGTCAAGAGTGCACAGGAATGTTTAGAGGGGCGCTGCCTTCCTTTCGAGAGGGTTCTTTTCCCCTGGCATTTCCTACTTTCTATGTGTGTTTTCACCCTTCTTTTTCCTTGATTAGGTTATTGGATTATTTTTGGACCTTTTTTTTTGTAAAGAGAACCAGCTTGGGTTCTGGCTAGCTCAGTCAAATGTGCAACTCTTGATCTCCAGGGTTGTGTGTTTGAGCCCCACGTTGGATGTAGAGCTGGCTTATAAATAAATAAATAAATAAATAAATAAATAAATAAATAAATAAATAAATTTAAAAAACCAGGTTTTTAGTTCACTTGTTCTATTGTTTTTCTGTCTTATGAAATACTGCTTTTGTTTTTATGAATCCTTCGTTTTCTTGTGTCTTACTTAGTTGCCTTATTTGGGTAGTTTGAGTTGGGTGTGTTTATTTGAAGTTTTATAATGCTAAACCAATTTAGTGCTATACATTTTCTCTGTCAACTAATCTGTTGAGTTTTTTTCATTCTTATTATTACTAAGAAGTTCTATAGTTTCACTTTGTATTTCCCCTTTGACCCAAAAGGTGTTATTAACACGTCTTCTAAATTTTTTCCAGATACAAGGTCTTGATAGATTTTTATTTATGTCTACTTTTGTTGCGAAATAGTCAGAAAATCCTGTTTGTGTTATTTTTATTCTTTGGAATTTATTGAGGTTTTCTTTATGGCCTATGATAGGTTTTTTTAAAGATTTATGGAGAGAGAGAGAGTGTGTGAGCATGAGCGGGGGCGGGGTGGTGGTGGTGGGGGAGGCAGAAGGAGAGGAAGAGAGAGGAACTCCAGCAGACTCCCTGCTGAGCACGGACCCCCCCCCCCATATGGGACTCCATCTCCTGACCCTGAGATCACGACCTGAGCTGAAAGCAAGAGTCAGACGCTTAACCGACCGAGCCACCCATGCGCCCCTCCATAGTCAGTCTTTGTGAATGTTTCCATGAAAAGCAGCACATTCTGCATAATTAGGGTTTAGAAATGGATTGATTTATACGTACATACATAGGATATTAATTTTGTAAGGCTGCCATAATACATCGCCACAAAGAAGAAGTCCAAGGTCAAGGTGCCTGCAGGGTTGTGTTCTGAGGTCTCTCTCCTCGGCTTACAGACGGCCGTCCTCTTGCCGCCTCTTCCCACGGCCGCCCCCAGTGCCTGCAGCCCTGCTATCTTTTCCTCTTCTCATAAGGGTGCCAGTCATTGGGTTAGGGCTCAACCTAATGAGCTCATTTTACTGTACATCACCTCTTTAAAGACCCCATCTCCAAATACGCTCACATTCTAAGGTACTAGGGGTGGGCTTCAGCATATGAATTTGGGGGGACACAGTTTGGCCCCTAACACTGTGTTTCCCCATCACCCGGGACTTGTCCTGTTAGAGCACTGCCTACTGTCGATGGGAAAGGCTCATTTCCTGGCTATCTCCCCAGAGACTGTAAACTCTGAGGGCAGAGGTACCGGGTCAGTCCAAAGCATTGCTTCCGGGGCGGCGTGCAGCCTGGGTGTTCAGTCAGTATGAACCGGGCGAATCAGGGAGTCAAGCCTCTGTTAGGTACCTGTCGCTGCTGTAACAAATGTCCATAAACTTAGTGTTTAAAGCAACACAGATTTATTCTGTCACAGTTCTGGATGGAGGTCAGAAGTCTGAAGGCTGCGTTCCTTCTAGAGACTCTAGGGGAGAATCTGTTTCCTTGCTTTTCCCAGCTTCTCGAGGCCACTTGTGTTTGTTGGCTCCTGGCCCCTCCCTCCACCTTCCAGGCCAGCGGCTCCGCGTCTCTGACTTCTGCTTCTGTTGGCTTATCTCCTTCTCTGACTCCGTCCCTCCAGCCTCCCTCTTATAAGGACCCTTGTGATGACACTGGGCGCCTCCCTTCCCCCATCAGCCAGGATCATCTCCCACCTCAGCAGCCTTAACCTAATCACAGCTGCCAAGTCCCTTTTGCCATGTGAGGTGACCTATGGAATCAGGGTGTGAACATCTTTGGGAGGGTCATTACTCACCTGACCACAGAAACGCTTTGTTCTAATGTGCGTGCTCTTGTCATGCATTGCAATTTTTGCTTTGAAGCAAGGGACCGGGCACTCTCCTCTCACTTTGGAACAAGATTCGCAGGCCCCTAGTGAAGTCCGAAGGCAGAGGCTGCACATCTTGTGGCATTTGGGAGCCTCTTGCCCGGGACCTGTGGCTGGAAGCACAGGGCCTTCTGGAATCCGTGATTTTCCATCCTTCCCATAAACAGACGCTCTGGCCAGATTGCTTTTCCTACCCTGCAATTACAGGCCGAATCCCCTGGGTAATAAACATAAATTGTCTTACTGCAATGGAATTAGTTTAAAAGAAATGCTTTACAGCAGTAATAGAACTCTGTGATGATGAAATTGTTCTATATCTGCACTAAAATGGTGTCGCCATTAGCGCGTGGGGCTATCGGGCACTTGACATGTGGCTAAGGTGACTGAGGAACTGACTTTTAAATTTTTTTAAGGATTTATTTATTTACTTTTAAGATTTTATTCATCTTTTTTTTTAAAGATTTTATTTATTTTTTATTTATTTGAGACAGAGAGAATGAGAGACAGAGAGCATGAGAGGGAGGAGGGTCAGAGGGAGAAGCAGACTCCCTGCCGAGCAGGGAGCCTGATGCGGGACTCGATCCCGGGACTCCAGGATCATGACCTGAGCCGAAGGCAGTCGCTTAACCAACTGAGCCACCCAGGCGCCCAAGATTTTATTCATCTATTTGACAGAGAGAGAGCGAGTGAGCACAAGCGGGGAGCAGCAGAGGCAGAGGGAGAAGCAGGCTTCCCGCGGAGCAGGGAGCCCGATGCGGGACTCGATCCCAGGACCCCGGGATCATGACCTGAACCGAAGGCAGACACTTAACGACTGAGCCAGCCAGGAGCCCCTAAATTTTATGGCTTTAAAGTAATTTAAATGTAAACAACACCTTGTGGCTTAATGGCTTCCATATTGAAGCAGTACAATTTTATAAAATTCATATATCCAATCTAAAGCACTGGGACAAGTGACAGCTTTTCTCGAAGACCAGGTCCTGGTGGGAAAGCTGTCCCTTGCCCAGGCGCAGTAAAACAGCTTCCTTGTGTCGCCTGCGTAGGAAGGGTGCAGATTCTCACTCCGCAGGTGCACCCTCCGTAGCTGGAAGCCAGCCGTGGTGAGAGAACTTTGGCCACTGTAATCTGCAGACGCTGCAAATCGGGGCTCCCCCCCATCCTCACCCTTACAGAGCTGCCTTCTTGAACCTTGGCCAGCACGCCGTTGTACAGATGCCAACTTGAGGGGCCGGTCCTATTGAATTGTCTGAGCACAATCTGAGGTTCCTGGCGCCCAAGGAGAAAAGAAGCGCACACTGCTAGCTACACAGAGGAGGAAAGCAGCCTCGTGAGTTCTCAGGGGAAGCAAGGATTCTGAGCCCTTAGTGCTACACCGGGTCTCCTCTCAGGCTTCCCACAGCGACAACTTCCCTGACAACAGCTCTGTTGCAAAAGCGCAGAGGGCTTTTAAAGCTGTGGTTTGTCACATCATTCAAGGTTACCCCTTTCGATGGATGTCGGGTAACGTGGCCCACATTTGCAGCTTTCGGGTGCCCGCCGGGGTCTACGACCACAGCTCAGAATGCCTGGCAGGGGCTGGATTGCGTGTTCTTAGAGTCTACACCAGTCACTTTTCCCTCTTTTTTTTTTTTTTTTTAAGATTTTATTTATTTATTTGTGTGTGAGAGAGAGAGGCAGGCAGAGGGAGAAGCAGGCTCCGCACTGGGCAGGGAGCCCCATGCGGGGCTCGGTGCCAGGACCCCAGGATCACGACCTGAGCCGAAGGCAGAAGCTTCACCGACTGAGCCCCCCAGGCGCCCCTACAATGGTGAACTCTAAAAAATGGCTGGGAAACGGAACCTTTTGGGCATCAGATCATACTTGATAAGGAATTTCGAGCCAGGGTTCCCCCAGCTCTGCACCTTCTCCGCGGCGCCGCCCTGCGCGCCCTGGGCGGTCGAGCCGCACCTCCAGCCTCTCGCCACTAGGTGCCGGTAGCGCTGCTCTCCCAGGGCGGGGGCGGCCAAAATGGCCCAGCGGCAGATCCGGAGGGAAAATGTCAAGGATGCAAAGGGATACAAAGTAGCAATCTGTGAAGAAGATAGACGCTCGAAGGTTGCTACACAAGTATTTGGAGAATTGTTTTCGTGAAGGCTGGTAAGGACCAGCTTTCTATCTCCACACGGAGCAGAGTAAGAAAGGAATTTCTATGGAAGAGAAATTGAGACTGACCAGCGGACGATTAAACATTACCACCAGTTTTGGGCTGGCATCTTCTTTCCTGAAGATTTTTATGAGCGGAATAATCTAGGATGACTAGGAATTGTTCCCTCGGGGTTTTGCAGTTAAGATGTGAGAATCTTCGAGTAATGAAATCTGCATTAAAAGGCAGCCAAAATTGTTTATTCCATGAGCATCGTGTCTACTATAGTGCTTTCGAGAAAACAAGCAATAACTGTTTCTTGTTACAAAAGTAATACACAGTAATGGTAGAAAAATTAGGACGTGTAAGTAAGCTAAAAGGAAGAAAAATGTGAAACACCCCTAATCCCGCTAGCCAGTGAAATTCCAGTGTTGGTTGAGACTTTACTGGATTGGCTACCAAATTGTTTCCTACGTTCATGCATAAAGGTGTTCATGTAGATAAAAATATAGTACATTGTAGAGGCAGAAAACTTTTCCCTCTGGGTTCTTTGGCTGGTCTAATAATGAAATCGGCAGAAGACAGGTTAACAGGAGAAAAACAAATTTAATTGTGTACGTATGGGAGCCCATAGAAATAGGAGACTCCAAGAAGTGAGCCAAGCTAGCAGCTTTTACACCTTTCAGACAAAGAAACCATGAATCTGTGAAGAACTGACAGAAGCTGGGGCTTGGGGTAGCGAAGCAGCGAAGAAGTAGCCGGTTTGCTTACACAGCCTTCTCGGCCTTGACGTGCCCATCGCTGGCAAGAAGGCTGTCTCCCTTCCTCCCGGGACAGGACGGGGACCTTCACGGGGGACACTTCGGTCCTGCTTCCTTCCAGGGCACAAAGGAGGTCAGAGAGTCCTTGCGCCCGCTGCTTCTCATGCAACTAAGTTCAAAACAGTCAATAGGCCAAAGTGGCCTGTTTGGGGGCAGCCTGCCGTGCAGCCCATCGTGAGCAAGGACGCAGTTCCCTGTGCCTGCTTGACACGAACCGCAAACCCGCGCGGAGCCGGTGTCCGTCCCGTGGCAGCACGGGGAGCACGCTGGCTCTCGTCTCGCCCCCGAGAAGCCCGGGGGGCACCGTCCTGCTCGTCTCCCGTGTGCACCGACCCGTCCTGAACCCCGAAGGAGGGGCGAACTGGCCCTCCTCTTGCACCTGCATCACCCCTTCTGGCCTCGGAGTGCCCCTGCCCCACGCCGAGATGCGCCCCGGCTCCTTCCAGCGTCTCACGCACGCTGGGCTGACTGGGCCCCCTTTCTAGGCAGTGAGCTTGAGAGATACGGCGTGCACCGTTTCACAGGGACCCTAAAATACAGGAGGGGTGGGGGAGAGACTATTCCGGCAGATGAAACGTCCTTCGCTGTTAGAATCGTAGAGGGCTGGCCATGGAAGGTATCCCAGAGATTCCCGGGGCCGAAAGTCTCATCTCACAAACCAGGAGACCGGATGGAGAGAGAGGCCGAGAAGCTTCTAAAAGACAAAATGACCTCAAAAAACAGTTCTGGAAGGATCCTTGCATGTAGCATGCAAATACAAATCTTTCGTAAAAACTTTGGTCATCTGACCATGTAACCTTAACTTAGTGCATGTGCCAGAAACACAGTTTGGATCTAGTTTTTTTGAGTTTTGTATCTGAGACACGGCTAAACTTTTTAAAACACAAGCTGGAAGAGCTCTGTGTGTCAGGTTATCTGTATGTCTGTGTATGTACATTATAGACGTGTGATATTTTTCTACCTCTGGATGGTATTGCCAAAACTAATTTGTAAAGAACTCTATTTTAATTGGCTTAAAGAAATTTGTTTATATAAATCAAGTATACTCTCAGAAACGTAGAAAGTAACCCAAACATTTTTTCAAGTTCACACGATCTGCGATAATCTTTGATAAATAAAAATTAATTCAAATTCGTTGGTTTAATAGAAGCAAGCACGTCTCCAAAATTTGTCAACAAAAAAATAACTAAGAAAACAGTTAACTATTTGATGTCTAATCCAAGCATCATTGTTAAAAAGAAGTAATTTAGGGGGGGTGCTGGCTGGCTCAGGGGGTAGAGGGTGCAACTCTATCTCGGGGTTGTGAGTTTGAGCCCCATATCGGGTGTAGAGATCACTTAAAAATAAAATCTTGGGGCACCTGGGCGGCTCAGTTGGTTAAGCGTCTGTCTTTGGCTCAGGTCATGATCCCAGGATCCTGGGATGGAGTCCCACATTGGGCTCCCTGCTCAGCAGGGAGTCTGCTTCTCCCTCTCCTTCAGCTCCTGCTCTCTGTCTCCATCTCTGTCTGTGTCTCTCTCAGATAAACAAATAAAATTAAAAAATAAATAAATAAAAATAAAATCTTAAAAAAAGAAACAATTTAAACAAGTATAAATAAGGGCAAAGTTTATGCTACGTTAAATGAAATGATGGCTATTCAGTGAACATCTAACTCATTTCCAAATAAGATGAACATTAAATGTGAAACATAAGTTTATCTACTTTTGGTTTTTTAATTTTTACAGAGAGAAACTAATATGTGGGTCTATTGATAACCATGTTTTATGCCACATGGAAAAAAATTATTGTAAGAAAGAATAGACTTCCAATAATTTTGAAATGTATTTATCAGTTTGCTAATCTACCACAGGATGCTGATCTATGATAGACAGGTCACGGTGGCCTGCCTCCCAGTTTTCCCTGGAAAGCAAAAATTACCAATAGTTTAAAAAGTTGGGAGAAGGGCTGCCGCAGCAAAAATGAACCGAAAAGAGAGTAAGAGCACTTGGAACAAGAAGCGTAAGCTAACTGCGCACAAGCCCTGCTCGGTTCTGGGGAGCGGGGAGCACAGGCGCCCCAGTGCAGGGTGAGATGCAACGGGGCTCCCAGGCGAGCTTCTTCCTGCTGTGGGAGGATTTACTGGAACTTCCTGTTTCTCAGACTGGGCTCCCAGACCCTTGGGGAGTGAGCATTAGCATTTATTTAAATCGAAAATACACGTATGATCTACATCTATCTAGATAAATGGATACTACGTCTCTTCAATTTTATCTATCATTTATAGATGGATTTATTATCTGCATATAGATAAAAGGATAATTTCATCAAGTGCAAAAGAGAGTGCCTGCATGGCATATACTCAAAATAGGAGAAATACGTGTCAGTTGATACAACTTCCATTTCAGTTACTTACATGGTTTTATCGGTGTAAGTAGGTGCTGGGCCGTAATATACACTCTCTTTCTTGCTGTGGAATGATCCAACGTGTTCGAAAGCCTCGGCTCTTCTACCACAGGAAATAGAGCAATGGAATGGCCTGTGTGGCCAGCTGAAAAGGCCAGTGCAAGAAACACCACCCTTGGGAAAAAAGGAAAAAAAGAAAAAGGAAAGGAGAAAAAGAACAGAAGGGGGGGAAAGAAGAAAAAAATTATTTAAAAGCACTTCCCCCATTTCCTGTAACTGCTTGCAAGGCTGCGAATTCTGATGGCGGCTTCCCAGCTATTTACAGCTGTGCCATCAGTTTGGACCTTGCTGTTCCATCTTTCGAATTTTTATTCTGTCTGCTCAGCTTAGAGCAAGCGCCTTCAGCAATAATGTGGGGATCCTGTTGCCCTGCCTGTCGTCTCATCGGCAGGCTCACAGAGCAATGTCAGCATGAGCCTGGAGACACGAGTGAATCTCATGCTGTAATTTACAAAAAGCAGACGGTTTATTTTAAGTGTATTACACAGGAGGGATGTATATTCACTGAACGTGGTGCAGAGGCGACTGTGCCGTCCTCCCTGAGTACATCTGTGATTATTCCTTAGCGCCAGCCTTGGGCCATTTCTTTCCTAGATAAGCTTTGTAAGTTTTTGAAATCGAGAAAATAACATTTGAACTAATAAAGTGGAAGTTGTCAGAAAAAAGAGGGCTTTGTTTGCTTGCTTTTAGTTTTTTTGTTTGTTTGTTTTGGTTTTGGTTTTACAAAACTACTAGAGATAATAAGGATGAAAGAAAGGGACTGCATATGAAAAGGAGGAGGCGTGTTTTGGGTAAAAGAAGGTATGAGGGGTGGAGATGCATTTTTGTAAGGGGGGAAAAAAGAAAGTAATTTCATCCTAAAGGAAAATCATTGTTCCAGAATAAGAAAGAAAAAAGGACAAAACCCAAATGGATACAGAAAGTTGTAGAAGGCTTGTGGAAAAGGGATCTTGAGGAAGGAATCTTATGTGTGGCTAAGCAGACTGAGATTAAAATGGATTTATTTAAATTAAAAAGAAAAAAGGAAGAATTTTAATATCAAAAGCGCAGTGGTGCACAATTAGAATTTGGTTTTCTCTCTGTTAAAAGGAAAAAGTGTTCTTAAATTATTGGTCTGCTCTTAATAAGAAATTGCAAACAAAGGTTTTTCTTTACCTTTCATGTAATCTGCCTAGAAAACAAAGATTCTGTGTTTTGTCTTCATCAGGTTACTTAAGCAAATTGTCTTCTTTATGTAAAAAGCTAAGTTTTTTTTCCAACTAACTTTTTAATGGTATGTTAAATTTCATGGGAAGCATTTTCAAATAAGAAGCCATGCTAAACTTTCTTTAGGAAATATTTATACGGAAGTTATTAATATAAACGTTCCAGAAAGTATATGAAGTTCATGGGGATCTGATGTACTGACACAGTGTTATCAGTCATAATTCCAGCTATTGTCTTAAAATATGGTCTATCAGAGAAATAACCAAATTTTCTTGTCAATTGCATTATAATGACTTCTCATCTGATCTTTAACCATTGCCAATTTTTAAGCCTTTTACCATTTGCAGATAGTTACTGTTTTATTCTGATGCTTTTGCAAAAATGTTCCTGCAAAAATGCTTTATCTTTGAGGAGATTCTCGAAAAAGACCCCCCCACACAAAGTACTCTGTAGAATACAGGTTTCTGATGACTTTAAGATCATAACACGGAACTGGTGTACTGGAACTGGTGTTACACTTTTCCATGAAAGTGATGAATTCATCCAACTAACAAAAGATCGAGATCAACAAGAATTAATTACAGGAGACCAAATGAATTAATGAAGATGATTAGAATTTTTATGACTTCCTTTAAAATACTGCTGGTTCTTTAATGTTTTGTTTGCAGATTTAAAAGGATCTGAAAGAACATGATCAATCACTATTCCTGCTGCACTTATATAACTAATCAGGCCAAGCTTATTAAAAGTCAACTTAATTTGCAAAACAAATTAGTCTCGCCATGGTTGTCTTTGATGGAAATGGAAATGATTATGGAGAGAAATTTATGTTTCAGTGATACACCCCTGTGGATATTAGATCCTAGTGCTGTTGATCATCTCTGAGGTTTATTTTCTACTTGTAAACTGGACTGGATCCCAAGTTCTAGCTTCCTCCAATATTTGGCTAAAACTCTCCAGACTAGCATTTCCAATTTTCTCCCACTATTTTCACTTGGCATCACTATGAAATTAAACCTGCCTTCCCCCACCCCCCACCCCGAAGCCATGCAAGCTGAAACTGGACAACTTGATATAAACTTCAAAGAAATCCCAGCAGCCCATGTGCAGACAATCTTTGTACCTGCTGCTGTGCGGCCACTCGGAAAGATCACCGGGGACATTCACACTGCAAACAGGAAAATCTGATTGCTTGACTGCACTGCTTGCACTCTATCTAAAGATACTTAGAATCCGACTTTTAGAAATCTTCTCAACTGACTGCTCTCCAAACTCAGAAGACGGAATTTCTAATTTGCTTGAACTATTAATCTTTGTTTTTCTTTTGTTTCCATAGAATTGCCTCTTATTAAATTACCTGATTGCTCACATCATATAGATGCCGAAGCCCATGCGTAACCACTTCCTGAAATACAACATTCTCAAGTTCATCCTGCCTCGGGTCATCGTGAGGATACGTGTTTGCTAATACATCATGTTATGCCTACGTAAATAACTTAAAATTTTTTTTGGTAGATTGACTTAGTAAAGTAAAATCCGAATCTGATTACAACCCATTGGATTATTTGGTCGGTTAAACCTTGGCTCCTGGGTATCTCTGCTCTGCGGAAGTTTTCAATGCTTGGCTATTGTTTTCCCTACAATCATCATATTGACCTTTCTAGCGCATTGTATACTCTCGAAGCTTTTAAATGCCTGTTGGCAGCCAATCACATGCCAGATGGCATCCATCAAGAGCAGGCAACTGGATGAAATCAACAATAACCACATGAATGATGAAGATGGTGACTACACGGCCCTCTGGCCTGATGACTCAACTAATGGAAACAGTAAATGTGTCATCTTCCAGCCTGACTAGTCACCAACCGTGGTAGCGGAGAATAACGGCCATAATGGCTGGTCATACTCTGAGCCTGCTGAGCTCTGACCCAAAGGGGGGGGAAATTGTTAAACTTTAGAAACAAAGGGAGACCAACCTTGAAGTGTCCCTGAGCAGACAGAAGCAGTTTGGTCATGCTGGCGAAGCTTAATGTGGCTTATCCTGCAAGGCTAACTGGACCTGGTCGTTTCTTGCTCGTGTCTCCGGAAATGACAAGCAAAACTTGAACTGCTTCCCGAAGTTGATATGACTGGTAAGCACTGAAAATTATAATATTGTAACTCATCACTGTGAAGAATAAACAGTCACAGCTTTGTCACTGGATAAGCTGCGTTAAACCACGCACCCCTGAGCCTCATTCCATGTTTTGGTTTGAATGCTCCCGGTCCGCAAACTTTCTGGGGCCCGCACAGTAATTTTTTACTGACTGCTACTTCAGTGATTCCTTTGGTTTTCTTCTGGCTATTTTGAACCTTTGGCAGAAGTTATGTCATTCTGTTCAAAATGACATGGCCGTTTTAGGCCTTTCCTGAACCGCCTGTCTGCTGTAATGTTCTTCACACTTGAGCAATCCCCTCCGAAAGAGAAGGCGAAACCAACCTATCGGCAAGAAACAAAACAAAACAAGACCAAAAAACCGCCCCACAACGAGGAAGCTGCCTTTACTCGAATCATTTCTGCCCAGCCGCACCACCACCGAGCAAGTCATTCCAGACCGCAGGAGGCCATCTTAGAGACCCCCGCCCTCCCCACCGCCCGGGGAGTCGGGCCTCCCTGTCGCAGTAGCCGGCGCAGCCGGGCCTCTCGGGGCAGGGCGTCGCTGTCGCGGCCGCTAGGTTCCCCTCTGGCCGGGAACGCACCGAGCGTAGGAGGCGAACGAGATCGGCGTGGCGGGCCTCCAGGGCCCGGAGGTGACCCAGCCGGCTGGGCCGGACGGAGTGGCTGGGCCCAGCACGTGACCGCCCAGCCCGGCTCCGCGGGGGGTGGGGGTGGGGGTGGGGCCGCCCCGGGCGCCCGAGGATGAAATCGACATTTGCCTGGGGCAGGAAAGGGAGCCTGTCACATTCTGTCTCCGTTAGACCCTCCACCCACGGGAGCGGGGGACTGCGCTAGCGTTTTATTTATTTTTGGATCTCCGGAACCAGAAGGCAAAAGGTAAGTTACTTACCACCTGGAAAAACCAGCTTCAGAGGAGTGACTAGAAAACCACAAGACCGGCCACATTGTTGGGTTTTAAAACCCGGTGCAGAAAATAATAGATCGTTGTGAGGGGCAAGGGCCCATATATATGTCCCAAATTAAGAGGCTGACCCTCTGAAGGGAGGTTTGGTTAGTCTGGAGGGAATGGTGGCAAAAGGGCCCGGGTTAAATATAGAAGGACACCAAAGCGGCTGGAGTAAATAGCAAGTAGGTAACTCTTGCCTGCTTATAAAACCATCCATTTCACATCCCTTTCGAGGGTAGGAGGTGAGGCAATGTTAAAATTGTGACTTAAACTTTATGGAAAGTAAACTAGTATCTGAAACGGGAATACAAGTAAGACCAGTTTCTGCTTTTGTCCTTTCACATTTCAAAACCGTTTATATGGTTTGGCAGAAGAAAACTTAATGGGTTCACTGCTTAAGTTTGAAATATGCCATTTCAGGTTTACATGATCACTCTTGGAATTTTCTAAGGCTTTCTAGGCAAGGCTGTTTCAGTTGTGAATGAAAAATGGTGACATCGTGCATATTTTCTGTAATAGTAACATGACTCACTTCTGCAGAATGTGATAAAAATTAAAAAGCGTGAAATAATGAGTTATTGTGAATTAACTCTTTCATGTCTGAGAGATCAGATTCCTTGCCAGAAGGTTTAAGAAAACACACAAGTACAACCATGCTCACGCAATAGTGCTTTATTTTAAGTCAGCAAATATTCCAGTAAGTAGTATGAATATGTGGTATCCCTTTTTTTTCCCTGTGGCAAATGCAAGTTAATATTAGAGTGTAGCTACTGAGAGTAAATAAAAGCATTATTCATCAGTGCAATTAGCATAATATTCCATAATGAATATGCTTCAAAATAAAGTATGTATTTGATATATATATTTGATAAATGATTTAAAACACTGACCCTCTGTGCTAAGTATTTCCATGCACTTTATATTTTAACTGTCATTTTGATGTGCACAAAATATATTTCTCCGTTGCCTTGGATAAAGACTTTTAAAAAATAAAACACTAAATTGTTCCCTTTCATTACTAATCCCTTTATTGCTAACTCTTTTGAAATCCTATTACATGCTTGGAGCCTGTAATCATTTGGATTTCTCCTTCTGTGTGCTGCTTGTTTCCCACAGTCGGTGAAAGGCCGGGAAAGCTGCGCACGTTCAGGCACACGGCCCAGAAGCGAGGCGGGAGCGGGGCTTCCCGGCCACTTGCTCCTCACCTCCGGGGACTTCCAGGGTCTTCCTCGGCCCCCACCCCCTCCCCGCCTCGCCCCGAGGGCGTCACGTGGCGGCGTGGGGCCCGCCTCCGGTGACGTCACCGCGCTCGCAGCCGTCGCGCCGAAGAAAGGATGCTCTAGGATGCTGTGCAGGTGGGCGGCGGGGATGCGCCATGCGGCACTGCAGGTAAGGGACGCGCGGCGCTCACTCTGCCGGCGCAGCCCGGGTCTGCAGGCCTGCGGCCCGTCGACGCCCCAGAAAGCGAAAGTGGGGGTCTTTGGCCGCTGCGGCTGCTGCATGCACCAGGCGGGGCTGCCGGGGGTGCGGGGGGGTTGCAGGCCCACGCGTGACTTCGAGCTTGGCATGCCCATCCGGGAAAGCGCGCAGGGGCCGGACGGGAAGACCGGGGCCTCTTGCTCGGGAGAGAAAAAAAATCTGGAATGAAGAGAGAAAGGGGCTTGTCAAAGATAACCGTCAACTGTTTTCTAGCTGTCATTGGGCTTCTTAAATAAGGACACGTTTACTAATTCTCCTTCCAGGGGTTTGTCCTCAGTATTTAGCCTGATTTCTTGTAAAGCAAAAGCTGCTTTGCTCTGAATGGAATGGAAACCTACTGGTTAGCAATTTAAAGAGCTAAATGTGCAATATAAATCGTTTTGCATTATTTTGCAAGGTTCCGGCGTTTAAAGGGGATATGTCAGAAATGCATTTTTCCCCCCTCCAGGTGTTTTAAGTAGATTGGAAAATAACAGTATCCAAGAAAATAAAATGCAACCTCCGAAGATTAACTGCGAGTGTAAGAGCGAATCAGCTACATCTCTGAAGAACAAAATGGTTTTTAGAAGGGGGTGGGGTGGAGATGAACACCCAAACCGAAGAATTCTCAGTGTTTTTTTTTCATTTCCGTTTTGAATAATTAGCCTGCTGGAAGAAGGGGCTTGATGACTCAGCGGCAGATGGAGGGGGGTCAGGTGACTTTTCAGTTCTGGCCGGTGGGGGGGCGTTTAATGGACTCTGTTAAGCGTTCTGACCTGTTTACATTCCTTTCTCTGGTTCAAATAGGGCCTGAGGCGGAGACATGGGTGGGCACCCTTAGGAGGAGAATCTGTAAAACATGACCCCTCTGGAAGTTGGGTGGCAGTAAATTGTACTGGAACTCACACCATGAATAATTTGATTCCCCAGCAGCTGTTGGAGGACAGTGTTAAAAAGCAGTGCTATTTTAGTTGGTACTGTAAAGGTTTTTTATTCTTTTCCCCTTGGCGGTGGGCTTACTGTCAAGCAGCCCAGATAGCTTTGGCTCTAAGAAGGGGATTATAGACTTCCTCTCTCTGTTTTATTTTCTAACCAAATTTCAATTGATTTGCTCTGATTATTTATTTCAGAGTAAGGAGAAGCTATAAAAACAATGGGGAATTCTCTTCCAACTTAGAACTTTATAAGATTGCCATTCAGAAGACATCAAGGAGAAAAGAGGATGTGAGCCCTGTTTAAAGAAAAACGGGCATGGAGATCGGGTGAAGTCAGCAAAGAAAAATGGGGATGGGGTGAAGTCAGTGAGACTTACCTTTGATTTTGCTAAAATCAAAATAATGTTTCTGTGAAATTCATGCTATGTCAGAAAATGAGCTGGCAAGATATTGGGACGTAGTCTTGCATATACTTCAGCCTAGAGATTCAAATGTCAAAATCCTATCCTTTGTCCATATCCACGCCTATATATTTATATATCCATACATTCATGTTTCTATCTCTACAGCTGTGTCTTTGCTTCTGTAGTCTTTTTAAAAATTGTGCTTATAGGGGCGCCTGGGTGGCTCAGTCGTTAAGCGTCTGCCTTCGGCTCAGGTCAGGGTCCCAGGGTCCTGGGATCAAGCCCCAAGTCGGGCTCCCTGCTCAGCGGGAAGCCTGCTTCTCCCTCTCCCACTCCCTCTGCTGTGTTCCCTCTCTCGCTGTGTCTCTCTCTGTCAAATAGATAAATAAAATCTTAAAAAAAAAATTGTGCTTATATAAGAAAATGCCAAGCTATTTTCCAAGGTGGGTGTACCATTTTGCATTTCTGCCAGCAATGTATGAGAATTTCAGTTGCTCAGGATCCTTGCCAGCACCTTGGTTTTGTTTTGTTTTTAATTTTAGCCATTAGCCATGCTCGTAGGTATGTAGGGGTTATCCCTTCGTGTTTATTTTTTTTAAGTGAATGAGTCTTATCGTATGTAAATTATTCCCTGCCAGCCCCTTGGTTATTGTCAGTTTTTAAAAAAATTTTAACCATTCTGGTAGGTAGTTATGGTATCTCATTGTGGTTTTTTCTTCTTTTTAAATTTTTTAGTAATTTACTTATTTATTGTGTTTTGAGTCTGTTTCTCCCTGCTAGAATATGAGGTCCAGGAAGCCTGGGATTTGTGTATGTATTGTTCATTCCTCCATCTCCAGCACTGGGCGTGGTACTGGGAGTATTTAGTTACCGTTTAAGAAATCGGTCAATGTTTTGCAGTTGCACACGTCCTGAAGGCCTGGGAGAGCCACCTTGCTCACCCCAGAGGGGGTTAAACCATCGGCGGGGCCTCTGCGGTTCCCGCTGGTGGGTTCCCGCTGGTGGAGGAGTCAGGGATGAACCGGATTTGGCAGCACGTTTCAGGCTGAAATCATTCTCAAGGAGCTAGCTAGCAATTTTCATTACCTAGCTGGTAACTGAGCTTCATTTTTCATTAATCATTTTCAAGTTCCTGGATCCAACCATGCTTGAAGCTTCAATTAAAAAAATTTTTATTTCTCCCACCCCCTACCCCCCTGCCTTTGGCAACCACCAGTCTGTTCTCTGTGAGCTTTTTTCCCCCTTCGATTCCACATATAAGAGGGATCCTACAGTATTTGACTTTCTCTGTCTGCCTGCCTTACTTCCCCTTAGCATAATGCCCTCGAGGTCCATCCATGTTGCAAATAGCAAGCTTTCATTCATTCTTTTTTTTTTTTTTTAAGATTTTATTTATTTATTTGACAGAGACACAGCGAGAGAGGGAACACAAGCACAAGGGGGAGTGGGGAAGGGAGAAGCAGGCTTCCCGCAAAGCGGGGGAGCCCGATGCGGGGCTCGATCCCAGGACCCTGGGATCATGACCTGAGCCAAAGGCAGACGCTTAATGACTGAGCCGCCCAGGCACCCCCATTTTTTCTTATGGCCGAATAATATTCCACTGTAAATATATACCACAGTTTCTTTATCCATTCATCCATCGACAGACACTTAGGTGGTTTCCATGCCTTGGCTGTTGTAAATAATGCTGCAATGAACATAGCGGTGTGAATGTCTTTTTGAGTTAGTGTTTTTGTTTCCTTCTGATAAATACCCAGAAGTGGAATTGCTGGGTCGTATGGTAGTTCTATTTTTAGTTTTTTTGAGGAGCCTCCGTACTGTCTTCCACAGTGGGGGCACTAATTTTCATTCCTACCAACAGTGCACGAGGGGTCCCTTTTCTCTACA